CTTACCCTAACCCTCCCCTCCTTTCTATCCTTCCACCAAATGCAACTACGAAGTATATTCCCGCCCTCAGTGTGCCGTTCTTCCCTTATTCACAACCACCGTTGCGGAATGTGCGTAACGCTCGGAGCTTTCGGACCCAGCTATCATACTATCACCATAATGATCATTGTAGAAATATCTGTATAGATGTGTCAGACCCAACATAGCCAACTGTGAATATTGGTGGGATTTGGGGAGGATTGACCCACAATTTTGGAAGTTACAGTTCACCCACATCCTTATGCATTTTCTAATGGGAGCATTAATAAAAAACAAAACAAAAGGAAAGATTGACTTTTTTCTAATACATAGAGTTACAAATTACCGAAGCAGCTGCTGCTGCTCCCCCTGATGCTGCTGGGCCACTCTCAGTCCCATGTTATGTGGGTGCTTTCTCCCCTGCCTTGAAGGGACTTGCTGGCACAAGCCTCCCTCCAGCCTTGCACGCTCTCCCTCGCTCGTGCATGCGCTCGTGCATGCGCACCATGCTGCCATGCACCGAGCATGCCTGCTCTCCCCTCCCTGCCTTGAGTCTCAGAAACAGCCCTCCCCTTGGCTGAGAGGCCCGCCAATCACAGCAGAGAGGGGCTTTTGGTGGGAGGATTTGCTATCAGTTTCCAAAAAGTAAGAGAAGGACAGGCAGAGAGATCTTCAGCCTTCTCTGCCAAAGGGGTTCCTAAGAACATCAGAAATATGTCTTCTTTGATGGTCTTTAGCAACTCCTCTGAATGCTTCGAACCCCCCTCCCCACGTCCCGGCCCCCAGGTTGAGAAACACTGGATCTACATCTATACACTGGATCTACATCTAAACACTAGATCTACATCTATATCTCAGTTAAAGAAGTAGAAAAGTTTCTGTCCGTAAAATTCTGTATCAGAGGCGGAAATATCATGGAAAGAAAAAAGATCCCAGATCACACACATAAAAAAGGAGAGCAACTCTATTTCAACAAACGTTTTTTATTCAAAACTAACAATATGCACTTGTGAATGGTAACAACCAGGCCACAGTAGCGTTGCGTAAGTACACAAAAACATATTGAAACTCTGTTAGACCACTAGAAGGTTTCTCCAAAAAAATACTATACATCCAAGGACGACTTTTACTTTCGAACCTGGTTTGGTGGCCAGATTCCTAGATCTAGTTTTCACATGTTCAGGGTCGCTGATAAGGCAAGCTTGTCCACTCTCCCATCCATTGTCTCTATGCTTTGCAGTCCGCACATGCTCAGTACGGGCTTCTGGAGGCAGCTGCTGTTTACCTTGCCTATTATAGGCAGGAACAAACAGCTAAATAACAAATCCCACTCTTTCCCAACCAAAGCTTTCTTGCATTGTTTTTATTTCAGATTCTAAAACATGCACTTTATAGCAGGTATGGGCAAACTTGGACCCTCCTAGTTTTTTGGACTCCAACTCCCACAATTCCTAACAGCCTCAGGCCCCTTCCTTTTCCCCCTCAGCCGCTTACAGTTGAGGGGGAAAAGAAAAGGACCTGAGGCTTAGGAATGGTGGGATTTAAGAGTCCAAAACGCCAGGAGGGCCCAAGTTTGCCCATGCCTGGTCTAGACACACTTATAACCCAATCAGAGCTTAGAAAAATTACTTTTTAAAGACTAACTTCATCAGTTATGTAAGGCCATTAGCCCTGATTATCCAAACTGAAGTTGAGAAGTGGATTGGGAGGCAGTGGTGGGAAAGGAGTCTTTCTGTTCACTGTATATTTATTACAGGGCATTTTGAATGCCGCCCTCCAGCCATGTTTCCTACATAATTAAACACAATCAGATGTAAATACAGTGACGCAATACACTAATAAGGCAGCAAAGCTCAGTATTTTGAAACTTCTGCATTTCTTCGATTCTAAGACACATTTTCCCCATACCAACATCTCTCAAAACAGGGTGCATCTTAGAATGTATCTGTACAAATAAAGCTTTTCAGTAGATGGTACTGAAATGGAACTGCAGCTCCAACATGATGGCAACCGCCTCGGATGGCAATGGCTCCCAAAGTGACCCACTTAAGATGGAATTAGGTATCAAACAGGGATGTGTTATTACACAACCTTATTTTCCATCTTCATCGCTATGATACTGCATCTTGTTGATGGGAAGCTTCCCACCAGAGTGGAAATAATCTATTGGACAGTGGCAAGCTATTTAACCTCAGTATAGTGAAAACCAAAACCAAGGTCACAACAATACTCGTTATAAACTCCAATATGCTGATGATAATGTAGTCTATGTGCATTCAGAAGAAGACCTACAAGCCACTCTGAACACCTTTGCAGAAGCATACGAGAAGCTTGGCCTGTCATTAAACAAAAGAAAAACCAAAGTGCTCTTCCAGCAGTCACTAGCCAATCCCTCTGCAAGCCAGAAATACAGCTTAATGGTGTAACATTAGAAAATGTTGACAATTTCTGCTCCCTTGGCAGCCACTTCTCCACAAAAGTCAACATTGACACTGAAATGCAACATCACCTGAGCTCTGCAAGTGCAGCATTTTTCAGAATGAAGCAAAGAGTGTTTGAGGATCAGGACATCCGTAGGGATATCAAGGTACTTGTTTATAAAGCTATTGTCCTCCCAGCCTTGCTCTATGCCTGCGAAACTGTCTACAGATGTCACACTCAATTACTGGAATGATTCGATCAGTGCTGCCTCTGAAAAATCCTGCAAATCTCTTGGGAAGACAGGCAGACAAATGTCAGTGTGCTGGAAGAGTAAAGACCATCAGCAATAGAGTGACGCTGCTCTACTATCAACTCTGTTGGACTGGCCATGTTGTCCGAATGCCCGATCACCATCTTCTAAAGTAGTTACTATACTCCCAACTCAAGTACGGGAAATGTAATGCTGGTGGACAGGGAAAGAGATTTAAAGATGGGCTTAAAGTCAACCTTAAAAACTGTGAGATAGACACTGAGAACTGGAAAGCCTTGGCCCTTGAGTGATCTAACTGGAGGTCAGCTGTGACCAGCAGTGCTGCAGAATTCAGAGGCACATATGGAGGGTGAAAGGGAGAAATGTGCCAAGAGGAAGATGTGTCAAGCCAACCCTGACCAGGACCACCTTCCACCTGGAAACCAATGTCCTCACTGTGGGAGAACATGCGGTTCAAGAATAGGGCTCCACAACCACCTATAGACCCACCGCCAAGTCTTGGAGGACCATCATCCTCAGGCTATATGGGTTCGCCAAATGCACAATGGTACTGAAATTTCTGGGTGCGTTACAATCGATGGTGTCTTAGAATAGAAGAAATATGGTAGTTTCCTTCTACCTTCTGGTTCTCCCCCCCCCCCAAACAAATTAATTCAATGTTACTGATGTACACAACTACGTACATCGCGACACAACAAAACAACTAAGAAAAACAACTGCAGGTAGGAGAAGACAAACAGGGATAAAGTCACTGGGGTTGTAGCAGGCACTATGGGGCTGGGTTCAATTCTCTCTAATCTCCAGAGTCCCTGTGTCCCTCCTCAGGTTTTCCCCACAGACCCGTGGGACTTTCCAGAGTAGATTTGGGACAACGGAGAATCTTTTCTATGTGAGTGGATGCCCACTCATCTAATACTGGCTTTCCCCCTTAGCCCCCAAAGGGTTTAAAAGCAGATCACAACACAGTTGCTATTTGGTCAAATATTTAGTTGTTCATTGAACGACATCATTAAACACCTATCTTGCTTCTCCTCCGTCGAGGTCAAAGTGGAGCACAATCGGCACTCCACATTTGTAAGTTTGGCTACTATAGGTTTTGGAATCAGCAAGTCAAATATAGCCAGAAACAGGTCTAACATTTGAGACACCAAAATATGTGCTGGACTGTGTTATCTGTGGATTTGATTAATGTTCTCTAGGTCTTCCAGCTGTATTGGAAGACTTAGAGATTCCCAGAAAGAGCCTTGCTCTAGCAATCTCTAGGTCCTCCAGTGTGATCCGATGGTCAATATCTGCCGGAAAAGTACAAATACTGGCTGCCATGGACTCTGTGAATGCCCAGCCAATCCATACCATGTTCAATGTATTGTCAAAGGCTTTCGTGGCTGGAATCACTGAGTTGCTGTGAGTTTTCCAGGCTGTATGGCCATGTTCCAGAAGCATTCTCTCCTGACGTTTCACCTGCATCTATGACAGGCATCCTCAGAGGTTGTGAGGTCTGTTGGAAACTAGGAAAATGGGGTCCATATACCTGTGGAATAATGTTCAGGGTGGGAGAAAGAACTCTTGTCTGTTTGAGGTAGGTGTGGATGTTGCAATTGGTCATCTTGATTAGCATTTATTGTCCTAGCAATTTCATGGTCTGGCTTCTTACTGCCTGGGCAAATCCTTTGTTGGGAGGTGATTAACTGGCCCTGATTGTTTCATGCCTGGAATTCCCCTGTTTTCTGAGTGTTCTTTATTTATAACCCCCATTTTCCTCGTTTCCAACAGACCTCACAACTTGCCATAGATGCCTGCCATAGATACAGGCAAAACATCAGGAGAGAATGCTTCTGGAACATGGCCATACAGCCTGGAAAACTCACAACAACCTATATCATCTTCTCTATTCAGCTGATCAAGAGAGGCATACAGCTGGAAGTTTAGCAAGTCCAGGCATTTGGAGCTTTCCAACATGTCCCGAACCTGCAACTGTTGGATGTATTTGGACTTTCCTTCTCTTTCCTTTCCCCCTGTCAAAATTCAGACAATAGAGGAGCACAAGTTCATTAAGACAAATTCCGTTGGTGCTGGACGTGTAGCTAGCCCCCTTTCCTCAAAAGCAGAAGTAGTAGCAGCAGAAAAAGTTTCTGTTTCTGCAATCTTTCAGATTTCCAGAGAAAAGGAGACTTCCTGTAGATGTTGACCAAAGCGCTGCACAGGAGGACCTAGAGCGAATACTTTTAGAGCAAATACTTCTGGCAATTTTTAGGTCCTCCAGCGTGATTCACACTCTCTGGCTTCCCAGAAATCTCACACTATCTTGCCCTTCTGAAGAGCCACTGGTGGCGTGTGGCTGGTCAGGAGTCCCAGAAAAAGAGCATGAAGGGAAAGCTCAGTGCAGATTGGATGGGAAGCTGGAGCTTTCCAACATTCCCTGAGCCTGCGGTAGGCAGATATTTTTGAACGTATCCCTCCCTGACATCTGATTTTCACAGGGGCCGTTGTGTAAGTCAAGCTGCAGGACCTGGAGTCTTCCCTTTCTTCCCTCAATTTTTTTAAAATACTGTGGAGTGAGAGCTCTTTGAGGACAATTCAGCCAGCATTGGGTGTGTAGCTAGCCCCCTTTCCTCAAAGGCAGAATTGGCAGCAGCAGCAAATGTTTCAGTTTCACAGACCTTCAGATTTCCGGAAAAAGGAGACATACAGCCTAAACTACGCGATGTCTGTAGCCTCCATCTAATGATTCACAGCTTAAATCATGGTTTCTCTCATCTGCAGATTTGGTCGCATTGAGGAACTTGCTTCCGAGAGAGATCGGTTTGGTTGGTTTCCAGTGTATTAGCCTACCCTTGATCCGAAGAGTTCCAAGGTAGATTATAAATGTGCCAACCAACAGCATAAAACCACCTTCTTATATAGAATTGTAACACGGTGGCCTCCTCTTCAATGTTCATTAAGGCTTGATTTCAAAATAAAACATTGTCCACAATCTAGGACAATACTTTGTTTGGAGTTTCAAATACTGTACAAAGCTTGAGATGAGGCAAAATCATCCGCCACACTCTAAGCATTTAAATGGATTTTTCCTTTCCTTTTCAGAGAAAAACATTTTCTACACTTCTGCCTTCACCGTCTTTTTCAGGTCGAAAAGTGGTGTACAAATATGTAAAACAGAATTTTCCTCTTGAGTGGTGTCTTCAATGCTTGTCAAGAATTCCCATAATCCAGACATTCATTGAGATTTTTTTGGTGTTGACTCTACGTTGCACACAAAAGTACGGTTTCCAAAGTAAATATTTGCCACACCCCAAGCATTTCTGGGGTTTTCTTCGTGTGTGGATTCGCTGGTGTCTACTAAGCAGTAGTTGCTGGGGGAATCCTTTTCCACACACCAGTCCTTAGCCTGGTTCTCCTCCTCCATGGACTCTCCAATTTCTATCAAGTCTTCATTCTGTGGATACAGACTGCTCACACTCCAAGTGTTTATGGAGTCTTGCTTAATGTGGACTCTCTGGTGGGTCACAAGACTCGATTTTTGGGAAAAGCATTTGCTACACTCCAAGCACTGATAGGGTTTCTCCCCCGTGTGGACCCTCTGGTGCACATGGAGGTATGATTTCATGAAAAAGGATTTCCCACATTCCGAACACTGGTGTGGTTTCTCTCCTGTGTGGACCCTCTCATGTATATGGAGATAGGATTTCTCGCGGAAACACTTCCCACACTCCAGGCACTGATGTGGTTTCTCTCCAGTGTGGACTGTCTGGTGACGACGAAGCAGCGACTTCTTGGAAAACGTTTTCCCGCACTCCAAGCATTTGCTGGGTTCCTCTCCCATGTGGGTTTTCCAGTGTTCGTCAAGGCTCGATTTCAGAAGAAAACACTTCCCGCACTCCAGGCACCGATGGGGTTTCTCGCCTGTGTGGCGTCTCTGGTGTACACGAAGATAGGATTTGTCACGGAAGGATTTGCCGCATTCCGAGCATTCGTGAGGTTTCTCTCCCGTGTGGAGCCGCTGGTGTATATGAAGGTAGGATTTCTCGCGGAAAGATTTGCCGCACTCTGAACATTTATGGTGTTTCTCTTCTGTGTGGACTCCCTGGTGTTTACGAAGCTGTGAGATATGAGAAAAGCATTTGTCACACTCTGAGCACTTATGAGGTTTTTCTCCCGTGTGGATACTTTGGTGCACTTCAAGATTTTGTTTCCGAGGAAAACATTTTCCGCACTCTAAGCAAACATGGGGTCTCTTTCTTAAGTTCCTCTTTTGATGGCTCCCAAGGTCGGATTGGTGAGTACACGGTGTCTCGCCATTTGAGCATTCATGCGGTTTCTCTTCCAAGTGCACTTTCTGATGTTTTTCAAGGTTGGATTTCTCCACGAAACCTTTCCCACACTCTGTGCATTTGAACATCCTCACTCCGGCATGCACGCTCTGGTGCGTCACAACCGCCGACTGATGACCAAAACATTCCCCGCACTCCGAGCACTGATATATTTTCTTTCTTGTGTGGATTGTTTGGTGTTTGTGAAGGTTAGCAATCTGGGAAAAATATTTCCCACACTCCAGGCATTTATGGGCTTTCTCTCCTGTGTGGACTTTCTGGTGTCGATTAAGATAGGCTTTCTTGAGAAAACATTTCCCACACTCCAAGCATTTGTAGGGTTTCTCTACAGCATGGACTCTCATGTGTATACGGAGGTGCGAGTTTTGGGGAAAACATTTCCCACACTCCGCACATTTGTAGGGCCTCTCTCCTGTGTGGGTTCTCTGGTGGATGGTGACATGGGATTTCTCGGAGAAACATTTCCCACACTCTGAGCATTTGTAGGGTTTCTCTCCTGTGTGGACTTTTTGGTGACGATGAAGATGCTGCTTTTGGGAGAAGCATCGCCCGCATTCGATACATTTGTACAAACTTTTTTGCGTGTGGATCCTCTCGTGAATCACAAGTTGGGTTGGTATAGCAAAGCACTTCCCACATTCCATGCACTTATGAGGCCGCTCTGTATTGTGAATGGCGTGATGCCTTAACAGAATGGATTTCTCCGAAAAACGTTTTCCACACTTGAAGCATTCGTAGGGCTTTTCACCTGTGTGGATTCGCTGATGCCGCTGAAGTTTCGTTCTGTGGAGAAAACACTTCCCGCACTCGGGGCACTTATGGGGTTTTTCCTTTTTATGGACTCTGTTATGACATGCCAACGATGAATTCATAGCAAATTGTTTCCCACACTCTAAGCATTTAAAGGGTTTGGCTTCCACATGAATTTTCCAGTGTCTCAGAAGCTCTGCATTCGTAGCAAAGTATTTCCCACATTCCGTACATGTATATATATTCTTCACAGCATGGGCTTTTTGGTGACTCAGAAGGCTAGGTTGATCCACAAATGACTCCCCACAATCTGAGCACTGATAAGGTGTCTTTTCCCTCAGAGTGGTCTGAGAGTTCGCATTTTCCAAACGTTGGCCAAGGTATTCTCCGTTTTCTGTGATTTCCCATGGTTTCTTTCTTGTGTGGGCCCTCTGATGTCGCGCAAGAGTCAATTTTAGGGCAAAACACCGGCCACACTCTGGACAAACCTGTGTTCTCCTGACATTTCCTGCCAATAAAAACAAAGATAAACCAGGATTGTCTCCTAAATCTGATAGAAGAGGAATCCAGAATTTGTTGTCAAAACTTTTTCATGGCCAGAATTACTGGGTTGCTGTGAGTTTTTTGGGCTGTATGGCCATGTTCCAGTAGCATTCTCTCCTGACATTTCACTTGCATTTCTAGCAAGCATCCTCAGAGGTTCTGTTGGTAGTGAAGCAAGTAGAGTGCTTAATTTATATAAAAGGTAAAGGTTTTTCCCTGTCATTAAGTCTACTCGTGTCTGACTCTGGGGGGTGGTGCTCATCTCCATTTCTAAGCTGAAGAGCCGGTGTGGTCCGTAGATGCCTCCAAGGCCATGTGGCCAGCATAACTGCATGGAGCACTGTTACCTTTTCCACCGGAGCAGTACCTATTGATCTACTCATATTTGCATGTTTTCGAACTGCTAGGTTGGCAGAAGCTGGAGCTAACAGAGGGAGCTTACTCCGCTCCCCGGATTTGAACTGCCGACATTTTGGTCAGTAAGTTCAACAGCTCATATAGCTGTGGAATAATTTCCAGGGTGGGAGAAAGAACCCTCGTCTGTTTGAAGGGAGTGTGAATGTTGCAGTTAGCAAGCTTGAATAGCATTAACCATGAAGCTACAAAGTCAATCAGTGAGGGCATCTGCATAGAGGTCACCTGGCCTCTGTTGCCTGGAGGCATCCTCTGTTTTGGAGGGGTTAACTGGCACTTGATTGTTTTCTATTGGGAGTTCTCCTTTTTCTGAGTGGTGTTCATTATTTGCTGCCTTCATTCTGGTGTTTTTAATATTGGTAACCAGATTTTGTTCATTTTCATGGTTCCTCCCTTTCTGTTTAAATTGTTCACGTGCTTGTGGATTTCAATGGTTTCTCTGTGTAGTCTGACATAATGGCTGTTAGACTGTACAGAGAAATTCTAGATCACTCTGACAACCATTATGTCAGACAACACAGGAAAACCATTGAAATCCACACTGGACATTCCACTTTTTTATTGTGTCAAAAGCAACTTGAGAGCATACTGCAAGTCGCTTCTGGTGTGAGAAAATTGGGCATTACAGAGACGTTGCCCAGGGTATGCCCGGATGTGTTACCATCCTGCTGGGAGGATTCTCTCATGTCCCCGAATGGGAAGCTGGGGCTGACAGATGGGAGCTCACTCCCCTTGTGCGGATTTGAACCAGCAACCTTCAGGTCAGCAAGCCAACATTCAGGTTAGCAGGCCAGCAGCACAAGGCTTCAACTCATTGTGCCACCACGACTCCCAATGATAATATATACACTCCACTGATAATATATATACTCCACTTGCCTCACTAGCAACAGAATCTCTGAAGATGCCAGCCACAGGTGCAGGGGTACTTTGAATGTATTTTTCTTGCATAGCAGGGGGTTGGACTAGATGGCCCATGCAGTTTCTTCCAACTCTATGAAACCCTATGAAACCCTGATCAGTTTACCTGAGTGGCTGCCTGAATCAGCTATTCCTGATCCATCTGAGTCTTGAAAGAAGGGCTGCCATAGGTCTTCTTCTTCCTCCTTCCGAAAAGCCAGATGAAACTCCAGGACTGGTGATTTTCACATGGCAAAGAGAAGATAACAAGGAAAAGTCAGGAGAAATCAAGTCTAGGAGCAGAAATCACTCAAATCCTTGTCTCCAGAAACATAGGGTGCATCTACGCTGCAGGTTCGACACCACTTGAACTGCCATGCCTAAATGCTACGGAGTCATAGGGGTTGTACTTTTACAAGCTCTTTAGCATTTTGTAAATAGCACTGGTGCTATGGAATCCTGGGATTTGTAGTTTCGTAAGGCACCAGTCCTCTTTGGCGGAGAAGGCTAAAGGCTTTGCAAAATTATAATTCCAAGGATTCCATAGCAATGAGCCACAGCAGCTAAAGTGGTGTCAAACTGCAATAATTCTATAGTGTAGATGGTCCAAGGCTCAAACGTCAGTTCATGCTGGCTCTAACCCCTCAAATAGATTCAGCTGTTTGAACAACCCTATTGAGGTTAAGGCACAAACCCAAAGGGGATTCACCACCCCACCAACATGATGCAATGACTGCTTCCAACTCATACATCTTATCAACCAATTGAGGGAAATGTCTCCTCACCTAAGTAGGCCATGTTCCCGTAATTCTCCATCATGACCTCCCTATAGAAGGCTCTTTGGTTTTGATCCAGAAGGGCCCATTCAGCTTCTGTGAAACACATGGCCACGTCTTCGAAGTTCACCGGCTTCAGCTAGGAGAACAAACCCTCAGTCAGAGTCCAATATTGCCAAAATTATCTGAGGTTTATGGTACTACACTATAGGTCACAAAAAATGAAATGCACAGATATAGGATGGGTGACCGGAAGCCCCCAGTGGCGCGGTGGGTTAAACCACTGAGCTGCTGAACTTGCTAAACGAAAGGTTGCAGGTTCGAATCTGGGAGTGGCATGAGCTCCCACTGTTAGCTCCAGCTTCTGCCAACCTAGCAGTTTGAAAACATGCAAATGTGAGTAGATCAATAGGTACCACTCCGGTGGGAAGGTAACGGCGTTCCATGCAGTCATGCCGGCCACATGACCTTGGACAACGCCGGCTCTTCGGCTTAGAAATGGAGATGAGCACCACACCCCAGAGTCAGACATGACTGGACTTAATGTCAGGGGACAACTTTTACCTTTACCTAGGATGGGTGACACTTAGCTTGGAAATACTCCACGTGAAAAAGACCTAAGAGACTTAGTAGACTACAAGCTGAACATCGAGTCAACAGTGAGATGCAGCCGCTTAAAAAGCCAATGTGATTCTAGGCTGCGTTAAGAGGAGTATAGTGTTGAAATCGAAGGAAGTCTCAGTCCCAGTTTATTCTGCTTTGGTCAGACTTCTCATGGAATAATACTGTGTCCAGTTCTGGGGATCACAGTTCAAGAAGGATACGGACAAGCTGGACACATGGAGGGCGACCAAAATGGCCAAAAGCCCTATGAGGAATGACTGAGGGAGCTAGGTATGTTTAGTTTGGAGGAAAGAAGGATGGGAGGGGACATCAGGGTCATGGATCATTGGTAGTGCCTATTCCTTTGCCACACAAGTCATGATTCAACATGGGCACGTGTAGCATTAGTGTTCCACATACAAGCTAGGGTGCCTTGGACTGCAAGAAGATCCAACCAGTCCATACTTTAGGAAATAAAGCCCAACTTCTCATTGGAGGGAAGGATATTAGAGGCAAAGATAAAGTACTCTGGCCACATCATGAGAAGAAAGGAAAGCTTAGATAAGACAATGAAGCTGATGGGGAAGGAAGGAAAAAGGAAGAGGGGACGACTAAGGGCAAGGTGGATGGATGGCATCCTTGAAGTGACTGGCTTGACTATGAAGGAGCTGGGGGTGGTGACAGCTGACAAGGAGCTCTGCCGTGGCCTGGTCCACGAGGTCATGAAGAGTCGGAAGTGACTGAACTAATAAACAACAACATACAAGCTAGAACGTGTCCAGAGAAGGGTGACCAAAATGGTCAAAAGCCCTATGAGGAACGACTGAGGGAGCTGGGTATGTTTAGATTGGAGGAAAGAAGGATGGGAGGGGACCTCAGAGTCATGGATCATTGGTAGTGCCTATCCCTTTGCCACACAAGTCATGATTCAACATGTAGCATTAGTGTTCCACATACATGGCTCTTTTGTTGCCTGCCTCAGGACTCAATGTGTTTCTCTGACAGCCACTCCATTATGGAGAGGGTTACCTAGCTATGTTTTGGTACCCAGACCACGGTCATTTTCCACACAGATCCATCTCCTATAAACTTCAGAGTAAAACCAGGAACAAACACACCCGTTCCTCAACACAAACACTTTCAGCGGCTATTGCATTTGGAGAGGGAAACCTCATACCTGAGTGGGATGCTCTGTGTTCCTCTGCCGGGTTGGATGCAAAGGAGGCAGTCCTGACTGGACCAGTGGCAGCATCATTCCCATCTCTGTGTGCAAAGCAAGTGCAAGAAGTCAACTTTCAATATCAACTATTCCATCGCAACAAGAAAAAGGGAATGGAAATCTTATGGCAGGCATGAGCAAAGTTGGGTCCTCCAGGTGTTTTGGACTTCAACTCCCACAATTCCTAAGAGCCTCAGGCCCCTTCCTTTTAATAATAACAACCACAACAACAACAACAACAACACTTTATTTATATTCTGCCCTTTTCACCCCGAAGGAGACTCAGGGCGGATCACAGCACACATACACGGCAAACATTCAATGCCGCTTTTGTATAGACAATACACAGACAGACAGAACAGAAAGGAGGTGTTGTTGACTCAGTGTCCAGCTGTTTGTTTGTTTGTTTGTTTGGTGCCAAGGAAGGTGAGTCCAGTCACAAGGGATGCTGTTGCTCCATTCTCTATGACAAAGAGCCGTCAGGATTTTCTCCTTCTTTTTTGGTCACCCAGCATCTTCTTTCTTTATGGCGTCATAAAACACCTCCGCTGCTTTTAGCGGTACCTAATTGCTCTCATTACAGCTAAAGCTGTTGCAAATTGCTTAGGTAAACAGTAAGCAGGGCTGACAGTCAATCACTCATGCCAACCCGGGGCTTCAAACTTGCAACCTTTGGCTGACAAATCTGTCAGCATTAGCGTTAGTAGCCCGCAGAATGACTTAGCCCTTTTTAACTCTCAGTGTGATAAAAATAACTCATGAAAATACACATGAATCTTTCGCTTTAAGTTGAAATAAAATGAAGTTCTATTCACTGTATACAAAACAAGATAGAAGAATTGCTTTCACCAAAATATAACAAAAACAATATCTTCGGTGAGTCCTCTTCATTCAACGGTGATATGCAGACATGTAACAGAATAATAGGGAGGAGGGAGCAAGCTTGTTTTCTGCTTCCCTGGAGACTAGGGCGCGGAACAATGGCTTCAAACTACAAGAAAGGAGATTCCATCTGAACATGAGGAAGAACTTCTGACTGTGAGAGCTGTTCAGCAGTGGAACTCTCTGCCCTGGAGTGTGGTGGAGGCTCCTTCTTTGGAAGCTTTTAAACAGAGGCTGGATGGCCATCTGTCAGGGGTGATTTGAATGCAATATTCCTGCTTCTTGGCGGAAGGGGGTTGGACTGGATGGCCCATGAGGTCTCTTCCAACTCTTTGATTCTATGAATATACAGTCTCTCTTACTTAGTTGTCCATAGAGTGACCTTGTCTTGCCGTAAACAAACTTTATCTTCAGGATGCTGCAGAACTACTCCCAGCACCAAACAAAGGCTTTTCAGCTCAAAACAAGCCCTCAAGCAAAGCTAGAACGCAATGCTCAAAATCTACAAACACTTGGTGCCTTACTATATACAGGAATGAATATCACACTCAATTAACCTGTGACAGCTGCAACAGAAAAAAACCCTGATCCTTTCTAAGACTTGGAAAAAGCTCGTTGCAAACTCTTAGTAGCAACAAGATCTTCTAGTTGCTGGTGATTTACATCAAGTTAGGTCAATGCAACTCATAGGGCTGATAGCTTCCACCGCGCAAATAAAGTGGGGCTGCTTACCCAAGGAGACCACGTTCCCATAATTCTCCATCATGACCTCCCTGTAGATGGCTCTTTGGTAGAGGTTGAGGAGCGCCCATTCTGCTTTGGAGAAGTAAACGGCCACCTCTTCGAAGGATACCATCTGCCAAAAGAACAAACAACCCTTAGAAAACCTCCAGTATGGTGGATCTTCAGTCTACACAGCATATACTTTTCCTCTTCCAGATAAATCCCATACCTGTATATAGACGGATGCGTTCTTTTTTCTTTTCGGACGCGAAGCAGACCATTCATATTGAACCAACGACATCCTTCTCGTTCCTAGCAATATGCAAGAGGCAAATCGGAAATCAGTTGCTTTGGATTCTAAATGAAATCCTTGGTATTTCCATTTCATTGAATATGGTCCTCGTGTGATTTTTGGTGCCTCTACACTGTTGTAACACTTCAACCACCATAGGAACATTCTGTTAAAGATCTCCTTCTGTCTCAACGGCCACCGCCCTCATCTCCGAGGGAGAGAAGAAAAGGCAGGCACAGTTCCACCAAGCCTGGTCCCAGGAGCAGACGAAAGGCCCTTCCTCCATCCCAGTGGGCATTGCTCTTGCCTTAAAGCAAGAAAAGTAGAAGTAGGCAGATCTCCACTCTGATTAGGCCTAGAAAGAGATGAATGGTCCTTCTTCCAACCCAACTGCCACTGCCCTGGCCTCAGAGGGAGGGAAGAGAGAGGGGGTGTTCCACCATCCCTGGTAAAGTAAGCAGATGAAAGGTCTTTTCTCCATCCCAACTGTCACTGCCCTGACCTTGGAGAAGAGAGAGAGGCAGACACAGCTTCTTCAATTCTGGGCCTAGAAGCAGATGAAAGTTGCATCCCAACTGCCACTGTCCTGTCCCAACTGCCACTGCCTTTTCTTCCATTCCAACTGCTACTGCCTAGTCTCCATTCCAACTTCCACTGCCTTTTCTTCTGCTCCAACTTCCACTACCCTTTTCTCTATCCTAACTGCTACTCCATTGTAACTGCCATCTCCTTTCCTCCATCTTAACTGCCACTGCCTTTTCTCCATACCAAGTGCCACTGCCTTGGCTTGGAGGGAGAGCAGAAGAAGCAGGCACAGCTCCAATATGCCTGGGCCCAGAAACAGATGAAAAGTTTCTGGGCCCACTGCCTTTTTTCCACCCACTGCCTTTTTTCCACCCCAAGTATCACTGCCTATTCTCCATCTCAGCTGCCACTGTACTTTCTGCATGCCAACTGCTGCTGACTTTTCTCCATCCCAACTGCCACTACTTTGGCCTGGAGGGAGAGTAGAAGGTGCAGGAACAGCTCCAATATGCCATAAACAGATGAAAGGTCCATACCACCTGTTACTGCCTTTTCACCATCTCAACTGCCACTGCCTTGGCCTGGAGGGAGAGCAGAAGGAGCAGGCACAGCTCCAATATGCCATAAACAGATGAAAGGTCCATACCACCTGTTACTGCCTTTTCACCATCTCAACTGCCACTGCCTTGGCCTGGAGGGAGAGCAGAAGGAGCAGGCACAGCTCCAATATGCCATAAACAGATGAAAGGTCCATACCACCTGCTACTGCCTTTTCTCCATACCAACTGCCACTGTCCTTTTGCCATCCCAACTGCCACTGCCTTTTCTCCATCCCAAATGCCACTGCCTTGGCCTGGAGGGAGAGCAGAAGGAGCAGGCACAGCTCCAATATGCCACAAACAGATGAAAGGTCCATACCACCTGCTACTGCCTTTTCTCCATCCCAACTGCCACTGTCCTTTTGCCATCCCAACTGCCACTGCCTTTTCTCCATCCCAAATGCCACTGCCTTGGCCTGGAGGGAGAGCAGAAGGTGTAAGCACAGCTCCAATATGCCACAAACAGATGAAAGGTCCATACCACCTGCTACTGCCTTTTCTCCATCCCAACTGCCACTGTCCTTTTGCCATCCCAACTGCCACTGCCTTTTCTCCATCCCAAATGCCACTGCCTTGGCCTGGAGGGAGAGCAGAAGGTGTAAGCACAGCTCCAATATGCTATAAACAGATGAAAGGTCCATACCACCTGCTACTGCCTTTTCTCCATACCAACTGCCACTGTCCTTTTGCCATCCCAACTGCCACTGCCTTTTCTCCATCCCAAATGCCACTGCCTTGGCCTGGGATGAGGAGAAGAATAGGCAGGCGCAGCTCCATCATGCCTGGGCCCAGAAACAGATGAAAGGTCCTCCCAATGTCCCAACTGCTATTGCCCTGGATTCAGAGGGAAAAGAAGCAGTATCTGCTGGACCTATTCCTCCTTTGTTCACTGCCATCCCCTTTTCCTTTTGCATGTCTACATTAGATTGTAAGACAGAGGGAAGGTTTTCATTGTTCTCTACAATGCTCCAATCACAGTGAATGTGCCTTGTTACCTGGTTGCAAGTGGTACAAGAGCTCTCCCATTTTCCCTTTGACAACCCTATCTTCACACATCACTCTTCATCCTATTGACCTCAGTCCATACATCTTCTTGGCTAGCCTCAATTAGAATAGATGTGTTAAATCGGTGGAAGTTATTTATGTCTTGGGGTCCCCTGTTTTTTGAATATTGTTCTTTATTTACTGTCCTGATTCTAGAAATGTCAGGAGAGAATGCTTCTGGAACATGGCCATACAGCCTGGAAAACTCACAACAACCCAGTGATTCTGGCCATGAAAGCCTTCGACAACACATTATTATTATTATTATTATTATTATTATTATTGACACAAAAGCACAGTATGTCACAGCAAACGAGATCTATATGCTGGATTTCGTATCACAAAATCACAAGTCGGCCACTTCCCAAGCATCTAGGATTGTGTGATGTATTTTCAAATTATTATTATTATTATTATTATTATTATTATTATTATTATTATTATTATAGCCATTTCCAGCTTTTGATGACCCCAAGGTAGCCATATAACAAGATTTTCAGGGACTGAGAATATGTGGCTTGCTCAGAATCACTCAATGGGTTTCCAACTGGGTCTCCAGAGCCACAGACCAATGCTCAAAACTAATGCGCCACATAATTGAAGCACTGTTCTTTTACCTTCACTGCCATGGCAACCTTTTATGTAATCTGGGGCTGGTCAATTAGAGAGGCACTCAACTCCAATGGCTGAGAAATCTTGTAAACAGGTCCCTATGTTAGGTGAAAGAGGGAGGGAGAGCATGGATTTAATAATAATAATAATAATAAAATTTTTAATATCCTGCCACCATCTCCCTGAAAGGACTCGGGATGGCTCAAAAGGCACTCCAAAGTGCCACACACATAAAATACACCATACAAAGCATATACAATAATGAGAATATAAATTAACGCAACAATATTACATAAAACATCCCCTCCCCCAAAAAAACCCTTATTAATAACATTTTAAAACACAGCAATGTGGTTTTATCTAAGTAGACCGGATTCCAATTGCAGACAGGTGCATCAAGTAAATGCATAGATTCACTAGGTCTTTTCTGGCAAGGATAGAAGTCTTCAGGACAGAAGCATATTCGATAAAGTGGAATCACATCACGATCACTACATCTTATGTGAGGTGAAAAGGGGAGGAAAAACATGAATTTCATTTAATGTACACCCCTAGGATTGATTCCCGTTGCTGAGATATGGGTAAATGCTATAGATTCAATGGGTCTACTTTACCAAGGCTTAACCCATAGGATGGCAGCTTTAATCTTTGTCTTGAGATGTAATGAATGGAAAAAGAGTTGCGCATCAAATGCCATGGGTTCAACAGGTCTACTTTAGCAAGGTGTAACTCATAGAACAATGTTTCTCAACCTGGGGGTTGGTACCCCTGCAGTGGGGAGGGGGTCATGAGGGGGTGTCAGAGAGGTTGCCAAAGACAATCAGAAAACACAGTATTTTCTGTTGGTCATGGGGGTTCTGTGTGGAAAGTATGGCCCAATTCTATCATTGGTGGGATTCAGAATCCTCTTTGATTTTAGGTGAACTATAAATCCCAGAAACTACAACTCCTACATATCAAGGTCTATTTTCCCCAAACTACACCAGTGTTCACATTTGGACATGTTGAATATTTGTGCCAAGTTTGGTCCAGATCCATCATTGTTTGTGTCCACAGTGCTGTCTGGATGTAGGTGAACTACAACTCCAAAACCCAAGGTCAATGCCCACCAAACCTTTCCAGTATTTTCTCTTGGTCATCGGAGTTCTGTGTGCTAAGTTTGGTTCAATTCTATCATTCTTAGAGTACAGAATGCTCTTTGATTATAGGTGAACTATAAATCCTGGCAAGTACAACTCCCAAATGACAAAATCAACCCCCCCCCCTCCAACCCCACTAAGTTTGTTTCAATTCCATCATTGGAGTTCAGAATGCTCTTTGATTATAGGCAAACTATAAATCCCAGCAACTACAACTCCCAAATGAGAAAATCAACCCCACCAGTATTCAAATTTGGGCTTATTGGGTATTTGTGCCAAATTTAGTCCAGTGAATGAAAACACATCCTGTATTCAGATATTTACATGACAATTCATAACAGTCGCAAAATTACAGTTATGAAGTAGCAACGAAAATAATGTTATGGTTGGGGGTCACCACAACAAGGGGTCGCGGCATTAGGAAGGTCGAGCAACACTGCCAAAGGCAGTGAATAAAATCCCACATTTTCTGCTTTGAACTGGAATATATGGCAATATGGACTCAGATAACCCAGTTCAAAACAAGAATTAGATGGAAGCCAAATTTTAAACATTGTTTACTATTTTTTCTATATATTTTTTCTTTTTTCTTCTTCCTTTTTTCTATTATCTCTCTCTCTCCCCCTCCCCCTTGGTTATACCTATACTAAAAGATATATATCTATATCTTTTCACTTTGTATTTCAGTTTATTTTTCATTTTTTTCTCTTTTTTTCTGTTATTGAATTTAAAACTCAATAAAAAAAATTTTTTAAAGAAAAGGGGGATTTTCTGGCTTGATATTCTGGGTTATCTGGCTTTGTGGAAGGGACCATAGAAGGGAGTCCTCCTTGGAAAAAATATCCTTGTTATCTTGAGATATAATGAAGGAGCTACTCGGTATCAAATGATGGAGAGCAGTGGTCCATTGCATCCGGCAGCGTCCCTAGATCCGCTTGGAGGAGGAAAGGCACAAAACTTTAATGTCGCATGAGAAAAACACACAAAAGAAAGAATCCTTTCAACTCTGGTTCGGTGTTATGTATTCCTAACATCTTTCATCATACATCAACACCAAAAGGGCTTTTGTGTTGATGCCCACACTTACCTTGCCCAGATTGGAGATGTGCCGTAGGTAATCCCTTGCAGTGTATCTTTGTTACTTGCGTTCTCTTCCGAGCATCTTCCCCATCCTCGCCTGTATTGGAACACAAAAATACAAGAAACCACCACCAACCCTACCTATGTGGGTTGCCTTTTACCTCTCCACACTCACCAGCTGCAAGGTTTCAAAACAACTCCAGATTGGTTCTCCCTCAGGCAGGAAAGATCTTATTTTGGGGGAGGAAAACAATGATTCGGAGCCAAGAAGCAGGCTTTCCTTTGTGTGCCTCTCTGGGGACCATGCATGCCAGCCCCTCCAGGAGCCACCAGGAGACCCCAAGAGGCACACATCCCCTCAAACAAAGCAACCTGATCATTTTTGGAGGGGGGAGAGAGAGTGGAGGGCAGGAAGGGACCCCTTGGCACTCTGGGAGTTGTAGTCTTTCCCTCCTCCTTCTCTGCCCAAAACCAGAGGATTTCTGGGAGGAGTAGTTTCATGCCACATGGTGTGCCGTAGATGTGCCTTCAAGGCACCTGTTGGTTTTTATGGCAACCCAAGGAGATCTTATATAGGGGTTTTCTTAGGCAAGGGATTGGCAAAGAAGCTACCAATGCCTTTCCTCTGAAACAGAGCCTATAGTGCACCAGGCAAGACTTTAAAAATATTGGCAAAACATGTCCCCAAAAAAGCAGACCTTAGGTTCTTGTAGGTTTTTTCGGGCTATAGGGCCATGTTCTAGAGGCATTTCTCCTGACGTTATGGAGATGCCTCTAGAACATGGCCCAATAGCCCGAAAAAACCTACAAGAACCTAGTGATTCCAGCCATGAAAGCCTTTGACAATACAAAGCAGACCTTGATATAAGGGTCCCCATTGCACGATCCCATTGTGAGACAAGTTGCATCTACATCAGGCATGGGCAAACTTTGGCCCTCCAAGTGTTTTGGACTTCAACTCCCACCATTCCTAAGTCTCAGGCTCCTTCCTTAAGTGGCTGAGGGGGAAAAGGAAAGGGCCTGAAGCTGTTAGGAATGGAGGGAGTTGAAGTCCAAAACACTAGAGCAGGGGTCCTCAAACTAAGGCCCGGGGCCGGATACGGCCCTCCAAGGTCATTTACCCGGCCCTCGCTCAGGGTCAACCTAAGTCTGAAACGACTTGAAAGCCCACAACAACAACAACAATCCTATCTCATCAGCCAAAAGCAGGCCCACACTTCCCACTGAAATACTAATAAGTTTATATTTGTTAAAATTGTTCTTCATTTTAATTATTGTATTGTTTTAAAGTGTTTTTGCACTACAAATAAGATATGTGCAGTGTGCATAGGAATTCATTCATTTTTTTTCAAATTATAATCCGGCCCTCCAACAGTTTCAGGGACTGTGACCTGGCTTTCTGTTTAAAAAGTTTGTGGACCCCTGACCCAGAGGGCCGGAGTTCGCACATGCCTGCCATAAGGGTTCCATTCAGAGAGAGAGAGAGAGAGAGAAAGCAAAATAGATGCATTCCCGACTCCCAAGGAAGGGGCCTGGGCTGTCAGGAATTGTGGGAGTTGAAGTCCAAGACACCTGGAGTTGGGCCCAAGTTTTTTCATACCTGGCCAATCCCAATATCGAAAGGCACCAGATGCCTTCTGATCTTGGAAGCTAAGAAGGGCCAGCCATGGTCGGTACATGGATGGGAGACCACCAGGTCTTGTAGGCTATAGGGAGGAACTGGCCCAACCATCTCTGAGTATCCCTTGCCTAGAAAAAACTTATGAAATTCATTGGGTTGCCATATGAATGGCTGGATGGCCATCTGTCAAGGGTGATTTGAATGCAATATTCCTGCTTCTTGGCAGAGGGTTGGACTGGATGGCCCATGAGGTCTCTTCCAACTCTTTGATTCTATGATTCTAAGTCAAAATGCCCCTTGCCAGCCAGGAACAAGCTTCAGCACCATGGAGAGCTCCTTTCAATTTAGGATTGAAACCTACTGTGGATTCGTCGCATCTCACACAAGAGAGCCATGTACAGAAGTGCCAACATTTCCCTCCTTGTGTTACTTGTACTTCAAAGAGAAATGGGGAGAGAAATAAAATTATTATAAAATAATTATAAAATAAAATAATACTTATTATTTGATACATAATAAGATTAGTTCACAGCAAGCAAGATCAGAATGCTGCCTTTTGTATCCGATGACATGTAGGACGTTTCCCAAGTGTCTACGATTTTGTGATGTATTGGTGAATAATACGTGCAGATCCAAGCCAGGTGGCCTTTTGCAGTTGACAGGTGGTAATTTTGGTTTTACTATTGTAATTGTAAGGCATTGAATTTTTGCCATTATCTATGTGTAATCCGCTTTGAGTCCCCCTAGGGGTGAAAAAAGCGGTATATAAATACTCTAAATAAATAATAAATAAATATTGATCTATTTATTTATTTTTATTTATTTTACAGTATTTATATTCGGCCCTACTCACCCCACAGGGGACTCAGGGCGGATTACAATGTACACATACATGGCAAACATTCAATGCCAAAGACACACAATAGATATAGACAAACAGTCAGAGGCTATTTAACTTTTTCTGGCCGCCAGGGGAGCTGTCTCTTTCATCATCCATCTGCGACACTGATGAAGTACTTTCGCATTCCCCGCATGCTTTTGCTGGAGTGCTTTGCTGGAGTCTTTTTTATGGCCTCGTAAATTTTGTTAAATTAGGCTCCCCACACAAAGGTGGTACCTAATTTTCCTACTTGACAGGTGCAACTGTCTTTCGTGTTGCAAAGGTTGACAACAAGCTACACAATTGGTCAGAAGCTCACTCTGACCCGGGCTGGCTTCGAACTCATGACCTTGTGGTCAGAAGTGATCTTAATGCAGCTGAAACTCAGACAGCTGCACCATAGTCCCGGCGCTAGGGTTAGGGTTGATCCATTCACATTTGCATGTTTTCCAACTGGTAGGTTGACAGAAGCTGGATCTAACAATGGGAGCTCACCCTGACCCCCGGATTCTAACCACCGACCTTTTGGTCAGCAAGTTCGCAGCTCATCGGATAGTGGAATTGATTTTAGCCTGTTGGTCGTCAGAAACCATCCCATTGTACTATAAGGTTTTAGCTGTTAGTTTTAGATGTTTTACCTTGTGATAAATTATGTCTAGTTGGGTTATGTTTCGTGTTATCTTTGGTTAATCTTGTCTGTCATTCAGTTTAAAATTAGGCTTCTTATACTGTTCAATGTGTTCTGTTTTATTGTAATTTGGCTATATGTCTTCTCCTTGTTAGCATTGAATGCTTGCCTTATGCATTAGAAACCGCCCAGAGTAATCATTTATTTGTAGACCTCACAACCTCTGAGGATGCCTGCCATAGAAATAGGTGAAATGTCAGGAGAGAATGCTTCTAGAATATGGCCATATAGCCCGAAAAACCTACAACCCGGTAAATAATAATTATTAGCATTAGTATTAGTTGTTGTTCATTCGTTCAGTCGTCTCCGACTCTTCGTGACCTCATGGACCAGCCCACGCCAGAGCTCCCTGTCGGCCGTCACCACCTCCAGCTCCTTCCAGGTCAGTCCAGTCACTTCAAGGATGCCATCCATCCATCTTGCCCTTGGTCGGCCCCTCTTCCTTTTGCCTTCCACTTTCCCCAGCATAATTGTCTTCTCTAGGCTTTGCTGTCTCCTCATGATGTGGCCAAAGGACTTCAACTTTGTCTCTAGTCTCCTTCCCTCCAGTGGGCAGCCGGGCTTTATTTCCTGGAGGATGGACTGGTTGGATCTTCTCGCAGTCCAAGGCACTCTCAGAACTTTCCTCCAACACCACAGTTCAAAAGCATTGATCTTCCTTCGCTCAGCCTTCCCTAAGGTCCAGCTCTCACATCCGTAGGTGACTACAGGGAATACCATGGCTTTGACTAGGCGGATCTTTGTTGCAGTCTGATGTCTCTACTCCTTACGATTTTATCGAGATTGGACATTGCTCTCCTCCCAAGAAGTAAGCGTCTTCTGATTTCCTGGCCACAGTCTGCATCTGCAGTCATATTTGCCCCTAGAAATACAAAGTCTGTCACGGCCTCCACATTTTCTCCCTCTATTTTCCAGTTGTCAATCATTCTTGTTGCCATAATCTTGGTTTTTTTTTGATGTTTAGCTGCAACCCAGCTTTTGCGCTTTCTTCTTTCACCTTGATTAGAAGGCTCCTCAGCTCCTCCTTGCTTTCGGCCATCAGATTGGTGTCATCTGCATATCTGAGGTTGTTAATGTTTCTTCCAGCAATTTTCACCCCAGCTTTGCATTCATCAAGCCCCGCACATCGCATGATGTGTTCTGCATACAAGTTGAATAGGTTGGGTGAGAGAATACAACTCCCGTACGCCTTTCCCAATCTTGAACCAGTCTGTTGTTCCGTGGTCAGTTTTACTGTTGCTACTTGATCCTTGTACAGATTCCTCAGGAGAGAGACAAGGGGGCTTGGTATGCCCATCCCACCCAGAACTTGCCACAATTTATTAGTATTAGTACTCACCCCAAATACAACACCACCAGACATTTTCTTGCAGTTTACAACATTTATTGAAGGAGGCCAGGGAGTGAGCCTCAAAGGACCACAAATAGATGCCACAGGGACAAAGGCAGCAGGAAACTTAGTCTTTCTTTAATATGGCGTGGCTCACCTGGAGCATCCCAAAGAAAGCTGGGCAGGCTTGGGCAAAGAGACAGGCAACAGGGCAAACAGAAGCCACTGGAAACAACGTCTTTCCCAATAAATGGACAAGGACTTCTAGCAAGGAAAGGAAAGCCATGAACCACACTGACTGAGACACATCTAAGGACAAAAACCACAAGAAGACATTTCCACATTTTGAAACACAACGGCATAATTCTACTGGATTGTCACTCTTGGCCAGATTGCCATAGCTTGTGACATTAAATCACAGTGAAAATGGGCAACATGGCAAATATCATTGGCTTATGAAGTCATCCCCCCATTTGTGGATTACATTTCTGGGTATTTGATTACAATATTATCTCTAGTAATTTCTAGGTTTTCCAGTGCAACTCTTTGGTCAACTTTTGCTGGAAGGGAATCAATCATACAGTCCTGCTAGAGAAGCTAAATATTCCTAGAAAGGTGTACCCTCAGATAAGAAATAGCCATGTTACCTCTCAACAAAGGATTCCCCCAGGCAGGAAGCAGCCAGGCTTTGAAGCTGCAAGGCCATTCAGTGCTAATTAAGGTGGCCAACTGCAACATTCACACTTGCCTCAAACAGACAAGAGTTCTTCCTCCCACCCTGGACATGGTTGTTAGAGTGGCCCATCATTTCTGTGTTCTCAAATAATATGCTGTGTCCAGGTTGGTTCATCAAGTGCTCTGCCTACGAGTATTTAAAAAAAAAAACCCTCTAAAATCAGGACAGGAAATAAAGACAACAAGGGAATTCCAGACAGGAAACAATCAAGGCCAGCTAAAACCGCCCAACAACGGATTCCCCCAGGTAGGAAGCAGCCAGACTTTGAAGCTGCAAGGCCATTCAATGCTAATCAAAGTGGCCAATTGCAACATTCACACTTGCCTCAAACAGACAAGGATTCTTTCTCCTACCCTGGACATTTCACAGCAATAGAAACCTCACTTACCTAATTTCCAACAGACCTCACAACCTCTGAGGATGCCTGCCATAGATGTGGGCAAAACGTCAGGAGAGTATGCTTCTGAAATATGGCCATACAATCTGGAATTCTGGCCATAAAAGCTTTCAAAAAGCCATGTTATTTATGGGTGTTTACTTTTGTGGGTCTTCTGTGCGTCTAACTGCAGTGAATGTGGAGGGATGATAAACCAAAGTGGAGACGCTGAACAGATACCAGAAATGGGGAAGGGACAATTGGGGAAAACAAACCAAAGTGGACCAAAAAGCTCCCATATTTCACAAGATTAAGACTCACAAGACAAAGGCATCATTTCCTTGCAAACCATTTACACCTGAAATTTCACAGTCTAGACAAGACAACATTCTGACACACGTTGGAAAGGTTACACATTCAGGACATTTCTGCATGTGAAAGTAGGTGCAAAACATGGGTTGAGAGCTAGTTCATATTATGATAACAGCATCAGACCCATCCTGTGAATAATGAGATATTGCAAGTACTCCTCCGATCTACGAGGGGCGTTCCTTCGAGATTTCCCCTGACCCACTTCCTATGGACTGAGAGCAATGAAACTTGGCACTCTTATGAGTCCTTCTCTCCATTGGTGCCACCGAGGGACACGCACTTTGCTCATGTTTTGAAGCAACTGTAAACATCTTGCTTTTAGAAGTCGACAGGCTGCTCCAAAAGCCACGGAAATCAGATTCTCACCGTCTGAAAAATGCTTGCCCTTCAAAAATAACTTCCTTGTTGGAAAGAGGTGGAAGTCCAATAGTGTGAGGTCTGGTGAATAAGGGGGATGCAGTAGAATTTCAAAGCCACCGAAGCATGCTTCCATTTGGGCAACAGGTGAGTTGTGAACTGGTGCACTGCCTTTGCTGAGCATGCCACATTGTATCTTGGTTTTGATGGCCTCCCGCAATTTTTGCAGATCATGGGACCCTTTGCTAAGAAATCAATTGATACGACTCTGTGCTGATCCCAAAATACTGTGAGCAAGACCTTTGGAGGCATTGAATCATGATGCTTCCATTGCATTGACTGGACTTCAGTCTCAGGATCATAGTGATGGACCCAGCTTTCATCCTGTGTCATCGGTCTGTTGAAAAAGTCCTCTTAGTATCCATGGCACATCAAGAAGAGAAGGCTGAAAGGAGATATGATAGCTATGTATAAATATGTGAGAGGAAGCCACAGGGAGGAGGGAGCAAGCTTGTTTTCTGCTTCCCTGGAGACTAGGACGCGAAACAATGGCTTCAAACTACAAGAAAGGAGATTCCATCTGAACATTAGAAAGAACTTCCTGACTGTGAGAGCTGTTCAGCAGTGGAACTCTCTGCCCCGGAGTGTGGTGGAGGCTCCTTCTTTGGAGGCTTTTAAACAGAGGCTGGATGGCCATCTGTCAGGGGTGATTTGAATGCAATATTCCTGCTTCTTGGCAGGGGGTTGGACTGGATGGCCCATGAGGTCTCTTCCAACTCTTTGATTCTATGCTTCTATGATTCTATCGTCAATAGTGCCTGGGCACATTCGACTTGTTCCTGCTTCTGGAAAGGTGTGAGCAGCCACGGGACCCAGAGAGCAGATACCTTATGCATGTGAAAATGGTCTTGCATGATTTTTTCCACAGACCCCACACTCATCTTGACATTTTGGGCTAGGTGGCAAATGGTTGTGCGATGATTTTCCAAAATGGCAACCTCCACTTGCTGGATGATGTGTTTATCAATAACAGAGTGGATTTGCCTGAAAATTGGAACTGTTTGCACCGAAGTCTGACTGCATTTGAATTGACGATGCCAGTTCTAGTCTACATCAAATGATGGCGAATCAGCACCATAAACCTCCTTCATCCCATCAGACATTTCCTTTGGTGTGTGGCCTTTCAAGTAAAGGAACTTGATGACTGCTCTGTATTCCACTGGATCCATTATCAAACCTCACAACACTTCAGCACCTGTAAAATCAAGACCGTGATCAGTTCTGAGTTGTAAATTGGCACGTGACCTATAGAGACTTATATCATTACACATGTGCAGTTTCAGTATCCTGTGATAAATAGAAGTGGGTCAGGGGAAATCGCTAATGAACGCCCCTCATATCAGAAAATTTGAAAGGCAAAGCTCATTTATCTTCCCTGGCACACTTGCAACCTTCCTGAGTGAGTACCATCAGGAAAACTACTTCATTTCTTTCTGTCGTATGTCCTTTACTGTTTGGGAACATCTGAACAACCTCAGGAACCTTTTCATGTTCCCCATATGGGAAACAACATATGTGTTCACTAAAAAATCTTGTTACCATTTCAACTAAAAGAAGGATTCATAATGTTTCAAGCCTTGTGTGGGTTTTCTGGTGCCGTACGAGCTTATCTTTCCATAGGAAGGCCTTTCTACATTCAGAGCATTCGTAGGGTATCGATTCCCCATGGGTTCCCTGATGCCTTACCAGTGTTTCTTTCTGATAGAAGTTTTTGCCACACTTGGAACACCTAAAGCCCTTCTCTCCAGTGTGGATTCTCTGGTGCCGAATCAACTGAGAGCTCTGGCAGAAACTTTTCCCACATTCGGAACACTTGTACGGCTTCTCTCCCGAATGCATTCGCAGGTGAATGTCAAGATATGATTTCCTGCTGAAGTTCTTTCCGCACAGAAGGCATTCGTATGGCTTTTCCCCCGTGTGCATCCGCTGGTGTCGAATCAACTGTCCTCTTTGGCAGAAACATTTCCCGCACTGCGGGCACGCGTATGGTTTCTCTCCGGTGTGGATCCTCTTGTGCCGAATCAGCTGCCCACTCTGGCAAAAGCTCTTCCCACACTGCAGACACGTGTACGGCTTCTCTCCGGTGTGGATTCTCTGGTGCGTGATGAGTGAGGACTTGTTGCTGAAACTTTTGGCACAGTGAAGGCATTTGTACGGCTTCTCACCCGTGTGGATTCTCTGGTGAGTGATGAGGTGGGAGCGGGTGCTGAAGTGCTTCCCACACTGAAGGCACTCGTAAGGCCTCTCCCCCAAGTGGATCCTTTGGTGTGCGAGAAGGTTCTCCCTCTGGCAAAAGCTTTTCCCGCACTCGAGGCATTCATAGGGCCTCTCTGCCGTATGGATCATCTGGTGCACAATAAGTCCTGATTGGTGCTCAAATGCCTGTCCACATTTGCGACACATGTGATGCTCCTCTCCCACCTGAATGATGCCAGTGTTATCTGACACAACATCTTCCACTTTCTGGATGGATATGCCCCACAGCTTCACAGTATGCTGCCATGGCTGTCGGTCAGACTCGTAGCCCTGATCAAAGAGCTCAGGCTTCATGGAAATGCTCTCTTGAAAACCTTCCAGTAATGTTCCATCTGATTGTGATGACTCAGAAGAGATTTTTGGATGTGTTCTGCATGTCCCATTTTCCCCGGGTATGCTATCACCTGATGGGAAAACAATGAGAGAAGAAGGAAGCATGTACAAGAATTACTCCAGAAACGATAATAGTAACAAAATACAACAACTACCCAACTCATGGTTCCACTTTAGTAATGGGGACTCACTCTCAGAATCCTGAGTTGTCAAGCAGATCCCCTCCTGGGATCCCAATGGGATCATTTCATGGTTCCCTTCCAGTCCCGGATCTTCCTCCTGTAGTAAGCTTTCCTCTTTAACCTCACTTGTAGCTGCAACATCTATAAGATCACAGAGACAGAGAGAAAAGAGAGATACGGGGCCTTGATGCAGAGAGGTGGTGGGCTGATTATGTATTTTATTCCAAGTATTTTTGAATTTTCTTTCGGTCTGATAATTTTAAAAAGCAGTTTATAAAAGCTTCATTTGTGAACAGCCATTCCTATGTTTCACAGCTGGTCAAAATTCTTGGATTTGTTTTTTAAAGGTAGGATCGTCAATGGCTTCAAACTACAAGAAAGGAGATTCCATCTGAACATGAGGAAGAACTTCCTGACTGTGAGAGCCGTTCAGCAGTGGAACTCTCTGCCCCGGAGTGTGGTGGAGGCTCTTTCTTTGGAAGCTTTTAAACAGAGGCTGGATGGCCATCTGTCAGGGGTGATTTGAATGCAATATTCCTGCTTCTTGGCAGGGGGTTGGACTGGATGGCCCATGAGGTCTCTTCCAACTCTTTGATTCTATAACCGTTGCTAGAGTTCTGCAGCCAACCAAAAGCTTGAAATACAATTATAATTGTATTTTTATTCTATTTTAACTTTTGTATCCATGTCACAATTTTTTAATTGCCTTTTAATTTTTGTTTTCATACGTAGATGTAGATTAGTCCCCTTTGGGGAGATAAAGTGGGGTATAAATATTAATAATAATAATAATAATAATAATAATAATAATAATAATAATAATAACAACAACTTTGTTTTTAGATTCTATTGTTTTTTGTCATGTCATTGTTAACTGGTTTGAATCTCTATTGGGAGAAAGGTGGGGTAAAATGAAGTAAATAAATAAAATTCAGGGATCTGCAGTTCAAAAGTTGGTATCATCAACATTATCGCAGTGCTGCAGTGGTTAAACTGTTGAACTGTGAAATCTGCTGACCTAAAGATTGGCAGTTCGAAGCCGTGGGTTGAGATGAGCTCCTACTATTAGCCCTAGCTCCTGCCAACCTAGCAGTTGGAAAACATGCAAATGTGAGTAGATGAATAGGTATCACCTCAGTGAGGAGGTAATTAAAGGCACCCATGCAGCCATGCCGGCAACATGACCAGGAGGTGTCTATGGATAACAAGCTTCTTCCCTTGGAAATGGAACAAGAGCACCTCCCCATGGTCAGAGTTGAGCACCACCTCCAGAAGCCGGAGATGAAAGGGGAAGCCTTTACCTTTCTTCTGTGTCCATCATTGTTATTCTACTGTATTAAAGGCATTGAATGTTTGCCTATTGTAATCCATTCTTAGTCCCCTCGGGGAGACAAAGAAAATATAAATAAGGTGTTAATTATTATTATTATTATTATTATTATTATTATTATTATTATTATGTGTTATTTATTATTATTATTATTATTATTATTATTATCATCTCAGATATCTTACAAAGTTCAAAGCAGATACAGCTATAAATTGACATGATCACAAGGTTTACTTAATACACTTAAACGAAAAACAATGAAATACATGATTCTCAAACAGAAATAGTGGAGTACATTCTATTTGTTAAGTGAGTTTGCAGCCCTCAAAGTTTGACCAAATAAAAGGGACTTTGAGCAGTAGTATTGGATCCAGGCATGGGAATTCTGAGATCTGCAGTCCAAAAACAGGATCCAAGTGCAGCAATTGTTGTAAAAGTAATTGTACTTGTTGAAAGTTCGCACAAGGAATGCATCCGATACCTCCTTGCATTGGCAATTATTTCCCTGGGGAATGTTTATAGCCCTAAACGGTTCCGGCCCAAAATACCTTGCAGACCGCATCTCGGCCTATGAGCCCACGAGGACCTTGAGATCATCTGGGGAGGCCCTTCTCTCGGTCCCGCCTGCCTCACAGGCACGCCTGGCGGGGACGAGAGAGCGGGCCTTCTCGGTGGTGGCCCCCCGGCTGTGGAACACCCTCCCTGCTGAAGTTAGACAGGCGCCTTCCCTCATGGCCTTCCGTAAGGGCCTGAAAACATGGCTCCTTGAGATGGCCTTCAATTGAGTGCTATGTGATATGACGACCGGAATGGACCACGACTATGAGATTGATTATGACCCCATGTTAAGACGATGCGGATTTTTAGTATAAGTAGATGTTATGTAGTAGTAGAATGTTGTCTGTTGTCACGATTTATTGTAAATTGTCTTTTCTATGTTTTTGTACACCGCCACGAGTCGCCCTAGGGCTGAGAGTGGCGGTTAATAAGTGCAAGTAATAAATAAATAAATAAATATATGCCACTTGCAATTTCTCCTCTTTCACAAGCTGAGAAATCTACCAATTGGCACAGAAAGGGAATTTGGGAAACTATACTTCAGGTGAATAGCTACCTGCACTCTCCTCTTTTCCTGTTTTTTCAGCATCCAGGATGGATGGCTCTCTTCTTCCTTCCAGGCAGGATATTAATTCTGGTTTGGGCATAGGAAAGCCTAAAAGAATGGAAAGTCAGGCAGGGATTGAAGGAATAATTCTTGATGCTCTAAAGTGCTAAGAAACTAAAACAAAACAGACATGACATTCAGGCTTGAAATATTGGACTCGGATACATTTGATGCTGGAAAATGAGACCAGAGTCTTAAGTTTGAAATGTTGACTGGCCATTTAGAAGGCGGAGCATAGAGAGCAGGGGTCCTCAAACTTTTTAAAGAGAGGGCCAGGTCACAGTCCCTCAAACTGTTGGAGGGCTGGATTATAATTTGAAAAAAAAAATGAATGAATTCCTATGCACACTGCACATATCTTATTTGTAGTGCAAAAACACTTAAAAACAATACAATAATTAAAATGAAGAACAATTTTAACAAATATAAATGTATTAGTATTTCAATGGGAAGTGTGGGCCTGCTTTTGGCTGATGAGATGTTGTTGTTGTTGTTGTTGTTGTGTGCTATTAAGTAGTTTCAGACTTAGGGTGACCCTGAGAGAGACGTGTAAATGATCTTGGAGGGCCGTATCCGGCCCCTGGGCCTTAGTTTGAGGACCCCCGATATAGAGGGTTGACTGTAATGCATTATAATATTTATGCTTCACATTGTTTACATATCTGATAAGTGTTGTTTTCTAGCAGGCGTGGGCAAACTTGGGCCCTCCAGGTGTTTTGAACTCCAACTTCCATCAGCTGTTAGGAATTGTGGGAGTTGAAGTCCAGAACACCTGGAGGGCCCAAGTTTGCCCATTACAGTTTTAAAGTTTGTTTTCTGCACTCCAAAATGCCACATTTCATAGAAGATCCCATTTATGATTATTATTAGTTAAGAGAACTGTCAGGTTTTACAATGTATTGTAATGTATATAGCTGAGTCATGCACTGCTAATAGGCTTCTATTGGAAATGCTGAGTCATGCATTAACTGTATATAGGGAATCATTTGGGGAATGTGTTCTGGCCTAGTCCAGGTGATTGTGAATGATGTAATCCTGGGTCTGAGTTAAGTTAATGAGTTGGGAACCAATCAGAGATTGCTATGTGTAATTGTATAGAATTGTATATAAGGAAGTCATGTACAGTGTATATTTCTCCTTGTGCTGTGATGTTGTTCGTCAAAGGCTATATGTAATTAAAGAACCTGTCTGCTAAGACAAGATATAACTGTATGCTGTGGTAAGTTTGTAATATCATCTAGACTGGGGGAAAGACAATGGTAAAACTGACAATGGCCGGGCATGTGCTCAAGTGTCTGTAAAAGGTTCCAGAGTGACTGCAGGCTGTGGGAGCAGTTGACTGAAAATACTGTGCAGGAAGAAGCTACTGGAAAGCGCTGAAGTTGTGCAACTGATCTGCTGCTGAATTGTGAAGTTAATCTCAACAAGAACAGACTGTCCCTGCAACATATGAAAGACAAGTGGTGCAGCTACACTGTCAAATTAATGCAGTTTGATGTCACATTCGATTATCATGACTCAATGCTATGGAATCCTGGGATTTGCAAATTGGTGGAACAGCCGAGTCTTACCCAAAGCGGTGATGTTTCTGTAATTTTCTTGCATGACTTCGGTATACAAGGAGCTTTGGTCTTCATCCAGGAGGGCTTGCTCTGCCTCGGAGAAATGCACCGCCACTTCCTCAAAGGTCACCTGTCCCTGAAAGAAGGACAAGAGTCATTTCTAAACATTCTTCAACTGCCCAGGAAATACCCTGGCAAAACATCTGGGTTTAAGACACAATCAAAGGATTTCTTCAAGACTTGGAAAAGGTTCGTTTTGGGGTGACCACCAGTGGGCCATGAGGATGAAAATCTGGTCTGCGAGCCTCCTTCCTCTTTATTTATTTTATTTAGTTATTTTATTTCCGCTCTTTTCACTATCTGGGCGAGCAGATGGTGACTACTGGATGGCGTATGTTCTATATCAGAAACTAGAGCTGATGTGGTCTATCCAATGCAATTTTCTGAATCAGCACCCCAAATAACCAAACTGAATCTGAAGTTGACCAAAAACTGATTCATAACCCTTCTTGTACTAATGTTGGAAAGTGATCCCTGGTCAAAGAAAGGTTGGGCACCACTGATCTATACAGTAGAATCCAGACAAGACAGAGGTACTCCTGGTCAGTTGTAAGGCAGATCAGGGTGTGGGATTTCGACCTGTGCTGGATGGGGTTGCTTTCCCCCTGAAGACACAGGTCCGCAGTCTGGGGGTGATCCTGGACTCATCACTGATTCTGGAACCTCAGGAGTGCCTTAGCATAGTTAAAACTTGTGCACCATCTGCGCCCATTCCTTGAGACGCCAGACTTGGCCATGGTAGTCCATGCCTTAGTCACATCCCAACTGGACTACTGCAATGCTCTCTACATGGGGCTGCCTTTGAAGATACTTCGGAAGCTGCAATTGGTGCAGAGATCAGCAACTAGACTACTAATTGGAGCGCTGTATCCTGAGAGGACACCTCCCATGCTACAACAGTTCCACTGGTTGCCAGTTTGCTTCCAGGATAAATACAAAGTGCTTGTCGTTACCTATAAAGCCCTAAATGGTTTGGGTCCAGGCTATTTATCTAATCACATCTCCCTATATGGACCATCCTGTGCACTGCAGTCAGCAGAGGAGGCCCTGCTCTCAGTCCCACCCCCGTCACAAGCTTGGTTGGTGGGAATGAGAGAGGGGGCCTTCTCTGTGATTGCGCCCCGTCTCTGGAACGCCCTCCCTAAAGAAATTAAAATGGCCCTCACCCTCCTTTAAAAAAACTTCTGAAAACACACTTATACACTTTAGTATATGGAGAGGAGGAGGATTAGGACATTTTAACCCATTGGAACACTGGCTAACCCACTTGTATTTTATGGCTGCTACGATACATTTTTTAAAAAATAATCTTTGTTAGAGTTTTTAAATACAATAAAAGGAGAAATAAAAGTATCGATCATATAGTCATGTCTAGCATAGAGGAATCAGTAAACATAGTAAAAAGCGAGGGGGAAAAGGAGAAATAAAAAAGAGAATGGAAGAAAAACAACCCCAAGAGTGTGTAATTAGATAAATAAATAGATAAGTGAATAAGGATGTAATAACAACATAATAATAATAATAATAATAATAATAATAATAATAATAATAATAATAATAATAATAATAAATGAAAAGAAAAAGAAACAGATGAATAAAGAAAAAAACATTTTTAAAGGTTTCTTCCTGAGGCCTTTCCCTTTTCTTTTCTGTTTCTCTTTTTTATCATCTCTCCCTCCTTTCTTCCCTTCTTCCTCTTTATCTTGTCTATTTCTTCTCTACAAGATCAAAATCTTCTTATTTCTTTGTTTGAAGTATTCAGTAACCTTTTTCCCAGTCTGTTTCTTTCATTTTTATTCCTTTGGTCTTTGACATAAGGAAAGTAAGCCTGTCCATGTTTCTAATCTCTAATGTCTTCATCAACCATTCGTCTTCATCAGGTATTTCTTTTCGTTTCCACAATTTCACGTAGCATATTCTTGCTGCTGTAGTAATTGTATCTTTATTGCTTTTAGGGTATATGTTGTAACGTTTTACTCGTGTTTTAAGTTTACTATGTCTTATTGAATTGTTTTTTATTATTTTCATCTCAATGCTTAATTCTTTGTTGTACGTGCACTGTTGTTTCTGTACACTATCTTGTATTATGTTGATGTGTTTGAATTCATTTGAGGCTCTGAATGTTTGCCTTTTTGTTTTGTGTCTGTAAACTATCCTGAGGCCCTTCAGGGAAAGAGGGTGGTCTAGAAAAAAAGTTCTTCTCCTTCTCCTTCTCCTCCTCTTTCTTCTTCTCCTCCTCCTTCTTCTCCTTCTCCTCCTTCTCCTCCTCCTCCTCCTCCTCCTCCTCCTCCTCCTTCTTCTCCTTCTCCTTCTTCTCCTTCTCCTCCTCCTTCTCCTCCTTCTACTCGTCCTTCTCCTCCTTCTTCTCCTCCTTCTTCTCCTTCTCCTCCTCCTTCTCCTTCTCCTCCTCCTCCTTCTTCTTCTTGTGGTTTGACATCATTTCCCATGCTTTTTAGCCTTTTCTACTAAAGAAGTGTTTGCATTTCACTGCAACTCCAAGGACTGCATAGCATGGAGCCATGGCAGTTAAAAGTTGTGTCGAATTGCATTAATTCTACAGTGTTGGTGCACCCTATGGCAAAAATTGACCATATAGTCCCACTGAAGGACCGAGAGATACCTAGAGAGAACATATTAATCAAACCTGAAAATAATCATGGACTCATAGAGTTGGAAGAAGCCGCAAGGGCCAATTAGTCCAACCCGATGCAGGAATACACAATCAAAGCACCCCTGACAGATGGCCTTATAGCACCTGGGGTCACCCAATCTGAGTCAAACACTCCTCCATGTGCTCATGATATAGTTTTCCTTCCAGTCCTCCTCCCTTACCTGAGTTTGCGCAGGTACAGCCTTGAGAAGAGATGATGCAGAATCCATGGCAGGCGTCATTCCACTAACTGCAAGGCAGAAACAGGTAGTGGGAAGAAGAATAACAGAAGATGGTTGCTATCAAGAGAGCATTTCAAATACAGTTTCTATCCCATCTCCAAAACTTAGAGTGAGGTGAACACGGATCGTCCCAATACATGTTGACAACACAATCATGAGGAAGGTCAGGTTGAAAGACAAGGAAGAATGAATAACTTTCCCAACATATGTAACAGCACCATGATCTCAGTACATGCCACCAGGGAGGCATGTACTGAGAAAAAAACCTAATCAGGAGGAGAAAACATCCAATTCACAAATTGTTATGGAGGCTAGGTTCTTGTGGGTTTTTCCGGGCTATATGGCCATGTTCTAGAGGCATTTCTCCTGACGTTTTGCCTGCATCTATGGCAAGCATCCTCAGAGGTAGTGAGGACCTCACTACCTCTGAGGATGCTTGCCATAGATGCAGGCGAAACGTCAGGAGAAATGCCTCTAGAACATGGCCATATAGCCCGGAAAAAACCCACAAGAACCTAGTGATTCCAGCCATGAAAGCCTTCGACAATGTTATGGAAGCATTTAAAGAATACAGTCATTTCAATCCTCAGTCTTCTCTTCCCCAAACTGAACATGCCCAGCTCCACAACTTTTCCTTATATATTCTGCTCTCCGTCCTCTTACCATCCGTGCTTCCCTTCTCTGAACCTATTCCAACTTGTTTACATCCTTCTTCAAATGAGGTGCTTAACATTTTCAAAAGCTTGCATAAATATTTTGTGCCTTTTAGTTCATAGAATCCTAGAGTTGGAAGACACTCCAAGGGCCATTCTATCCAAACTCATTCTGAGAGACAGGAATACACAATCAAAGCACTCCTGACAGATGGCCATCTAGCCTCTAGTTAAGAGGGAGACTCCACCACACTTCAAGGCAGCATATTCCACTGTCAAACAGCTTAGATTCACAGGAAGTTCTCTTCTAATGTTTAGGTGGAATTTCTCTTCCTGCAGTTTGAATCCATTGCTTCGTGTCCTAATCTCTTGGCGAATTAAGATATCACTGTTTTGTGGATTGTGTGTTTTATTGTGTTTTGTTGCACTGCCAACCTGCTACCCTGCATGTGCAAAAGTGATATTTTCCCACTACAACTCCCAACGTTTATGGGAATGGATTCGAAGAACTGTAAAGGTACAGCTTTTCTTACATGGCAGAGGGGTTGGACTAGATCACTGGTTCCCAACCTGTGAGTCCCCAGGTGTTTTGGCCTACAACTCCCAGAAATCCCAGGCAGCTTACCAGCTGTTAGGATTTTTGGAATTTGGAAGCCAAAACCTCTGGGGACCCACGGGTTGAGAACCACTGGACTAGATAATGTTTCATGTGGTCTCTTCCAACTCTATTTTTCTATTATTTTCTATTCTATTCAAGACCAAAAAAGGATATTCCCAAACACTGCCCCTCTCTTGCTGTTTTGCACTGCTCCCTAGGCAATTCCGGTCCTTACCAAGGTGACCACCATCTTCCTTGTCCCTCTTCTCCTCCTCCATCCCTTTGCACAGTGGCTGTCTTGGCTTYATATCAAATGAGGACAGGAAASCCCTGGKAGATTCCTCTTTTTCTGTCTCAGAAGGCATCTCAYAAAGGACCTGGACCAAAAGAGAGYGTTACYACACATGACCAMTATAACAACAACAACAGTAACAACAGCAGRAGAGAGTAGACACKCAGAAYYGTTAGCACTAAAAGGTAACAGATGTATCTAAAACAGTGGTTCTCAACCTTCCTAATGCCGCAACRCCTTAATACAGTTCCTCATGTTGTGYTGACCCRCAAKCATWAKATTATTTTWKTTGCTACTTCATAACTGTAATTTTGCTTCTGTTATGAWTCYTAATGTAAATATCTMWTATGAAGGAMGTATTTTCATTCACTGGACCATATTGGGCACAAATACCCAATATGCCTGAATTTGAATACTGGTGGGGTGGGGGAGGGATTAATTTTGTCATTTGGGAGTTGTAATTTCTGGGATTTATAGTTCACCTACAATCAAAGAGCATTGTGAATTCCACCAACGATGGAACTGAACCAAACTTGGCACAGAGAACTCCCATGACCAAAGAAAATACTGGAAGGGCTTCATGGGCATTGGCCTTGAGTTTTGGAGTTGTAGTTTACCTAAATCCAGAGAGCATTCCGGACTCAAACAATGATGATCTGGACCAAACTTGGCACGGATACTCAATATGGCCAAATGTGAACACTGGTGAAGACCTTGACATTTGGGAGTTGTAGTTGCTGGGATTTATATTTCACGTACAATCAAAGAGCATTCTGAACCCCACCAACGATAGTTAAAGTTATTATGGTCTTAGATTTAATCTCCTCACCTGTTGTTTCCACCCTTTGGATTCTTCTTGGCTCTGCAGAAATTCCTCCGCCAGGGCCACCGCATGGGCAGGAGTCTCCGGCCTGCCTTCCTTAACCCAACTTTGCATTTCCTGAGGCAAAATGGTCAAGAACTGCTCCAGAATCAACATCTCCAGGATCTGCTCCTTGCTTGACTTCTCTGGCTTCAGCCACCGCTGGCAGAGTTCCTGGAGTCGACCACAAACCCAACGAGGCCCCTCCGTCTCCCGGTAGTGGAAATCCCGGAACCGTTTGCGCTGGATCTCGGCCCCAATGTCCTCTTTGGCTCGAACATCTCCCTCCATCGTTTCATAATCCTCGCCATCTCTCATATCCAGATTATTTACAGCTGCTCCGTTGATGCTTGGCAACATCATGGGCTCCTCCTTTGTTGAAAGCCACTTGCTGATTTCTCCTTCGAAGGAGCCCAGAGATAATTCCCCACTTGTCCTCTCAACCCAGAGTTTGGGATCTTCCCAGCCTACCTGAGAGGGTTGTAGCGCCCTCAGAAACTCTTGCCACTGGACTTCCCAAAGTTGGGCCAAGTCTTCCTCCGGCTCTTGCTTCACTTGTGGTGGCAGCCGCTTTGGAAACCCAACTGGGACAAAATGGTATCTCTTCTTGTCAGCTCCCCAATCTCCATATGCCAAAGTTAGCCCTTCTGCCTCTTCCATTGTAATGCCTGCAGAAAATCCGTGAGTGAAGAAATGGTGGTCCAGGGTGGCCACTCCACCACCTTCTCTGGACATAGTTTTACCTTGATGAAGCAGATTACCTGGTTCACTTGGTGAATTTTAACCAAATTGTTTGAAGAGATAACTGAAGAACCACTGTAAGTGACTCAGTCATGCGGAATAGTGGTCAAAACATGCTACTAGACTCTGAAAGTGGGGATGATGAGTAATATAATGAAGGACATGCCAGGCCGAATGATAATGCAGATGTTGCCTTCATTTCCATACCGGTGGGAGAAAGTTTTCTCTCTGAAGAAAAGAGAAATACACAAACCACAACAAAATGTAATTTTTTAAAAAAGAAATCAAATACCTGTATTTTTCCAAGGACAAAAAGCTTTAGAATTTTTTTATGTTGGTGAACCACTTTTTTTCGGGTTGTAGGTTTTTTCAGGCTATACGGCCATGTCCTAGAGGCATTCTCTCCTGAATGCGTCTACCTACCTCTGAGGATGCTTGCCATAGATGCAGGCGAAATGTCAGAAGAGAATGCCTCTAGAACATGGCCATATAGCCCGAAAAAACCTACAACAACACAGTGATTCCGGCCATGAAAGCCTTCGAAAATACATTTTTTTCCATTTCGTGACACAGTTCTTCAGTTTTACTAGCAAATTAGAGGTTTAACCAAACTCTTGAAATATGGACACATAAATTGTAAGAACTGAATGTATGGGGGATACAACGTATCTCATTAAAACCCTCCATTGACATTTTTAAATATATATATTTTATATAGCATCTCATATCTGCAGGAGTGTACCATGCAACTGTGGACAAATCTACATACAGACCACCAAACGCAGCATTCCCCAAACACGAATCGAGGAACACAAAAGGCACTGCAAACTACTTCAACAAGAGAAGTCAGCCATAGCAGAGCACAACCTGGACACAGCATATCATTTGAGAACACAGAAATGCTGGACCACTCTCACAAGCACCATGTCAGACTACACAGAGAAGCCATTGAAATCCACAAGCGTGTGGACAATTTCAACAAAAAGGAGGGGACCATGGAAATGCACAAAATCTGGCTACCAGTATTAAAAATACTCAAAAATCAGGATAGTAAATAAAGAAGAACAATCAAACAACATGACATGACATGACATGACATGAAACAATCAGGGCCAGCTGACACCTGCCAACAAAGGCTTCCCCCAGACAGGAAGGAGCCAGGCCTTGAAGCTGCTAGGCCTATTGCAACATTCACACTTGCCTTAAGCAGACAAGATTTCTTTATCCCACCCTGCACATTATTTCACATATATATAAATCCCTTTTTCCTAGTTTCTAACAGATACCTCAACCTCTGAGGATGCCTGCCATAAATGTGGGCAAAACTTCAGGAGAGAATGCTTTTGAAACATGGACATACATTCCGGAAAATTCGCAGCAACCCAGTGATGGACTTCTTGATACTGAACTCTTGAACATCCTTTTACCTATTTATTTGCAAGGGCCTTTCATAACTTAAACATAAAGCTCAAACTTTGGCTACTTAAAGACTTTTTCTATTTCTTATCAGGCCAACATTTGGAGACACTTTGTGCTCCTTTAGTTAAGTATTTACCTTCATCCTGGCTTTCCATTTTAACAAGAAGCCACATTAAAAAAAATGACCCATGGCAGTATTTCAAAACAAAGCCATTCGAAAATGTTACAGCTACTATCAAAACGGATACACAGAGGAAATAGGTTGAAAGGCCAGCAGGAAGAAACTGAATCTTTGCATCCTTCCTAAAAGGAAGTAAGTAAATAAATAAATATGAATAAATACACAGGGAGAACCCAGAAGGAAACAATCTTGCAACTCTTGGGCTCAGAATATGGGAAGACATCTTCTTCTCCGCTTTGAAGACTTGCAATCCTTGCCTCTCCATTCAGTCCAGGGAATCTTTCATTTCTCAGATTTCTCTCCATCCCTCAATTGCAGATGAGCCTTCCCTTTGTGCAACTCCTGCCTCCATCCCTGCTTCCCCTTGAACTCGTCCCACCATCCCTAGAAGCCAACCCCGTTTGGGTACCTTTTGGGGTTTCTCAGGGCCAACCAAGGAGGGCCTCAGCAAGCCAAAGAGATTGGAAAGCCTCACCATCTCTCCAAAAAAAGGGCTGCAAGGAGAAGGAGGAGAAGGATACAGGAAGCGCCTATCTCTTTCTCCATCCCTCCTTCGTTGGCCTTTCTAGGAATCCCAACTGTCTGTTTTAACCCTTTAGAAATAGAGAACAAATGCCCCCAGTTCATCACATCCATGCGCTCTTGGGCATGGTTTCCTTAACGGAAAGCACTGGGTACAAGAAAAAGAAGTCGCCTGGAAAGAATCAGGGAAAATTCCTATGACCAAAAAGGACTATTCAAAATGTTTCAACAAGTTGTTATTCAATGTATTGTCGAAGGCTTTCATGGCCGGAATCACTGGGTTGTTGTAGGTTTTTCTGGGTTATATGGCCATGTTCTAGAGGCATTTTCTCCTGTTGTGAGGGTGTATGTCCATGTTCCAGAAGCATTCTCTCCTGACATTTCACCTGCATCTATGGCAAGCATCCTCAGAGGTAGTGAGTTATTCAAACAGAATATATACATGTCAAAAGAAGCAGCCAGGTCAGCCCTGCGTTGATCAAGAAAAATATGTTGCATCATCTGAAGATAACTGAAAGCATCTTCCAAAATGTGGGTTAATAAATAAATAAATAAATGTGATAAATAAATATGAATACAAAAAACAGACAGACAGATATTCGGATAGCTAGATATTCAGATAGATAGATAGATAGATAGATAGATAGATAGATAGATAGATAGATAGATAGATATGTGTTGTCGAAGGCTTTCATGGCCAGAATCACTGGGCTGTTGTGAGGGTGTATGTTCATGTTCCAGAAGCATTCTCTCCTGACATTTCACCCACATCCATGGCAGGCATCTTTAGAGGTTGTGAGGTCTGTTGGAAACTGTTGGAAACTAGGAAAATGGGGCTTATATATCTGTGGAATAATGTCCATGGTGGGAAAAATAACTCTTGTCTGTTTGAGGAAGGTGTGAATGCCAGTTGGTTGGCAGTTTGAATCCAAGAAGTGGAGTGAGCTCCTGCTGTTAGGACCAGCTTCTGCCAACCAGCAATTTGAAAACATGCAAATGTGAGTAGAGCAATAGGTACCACTCCAGGAGGAAGGTAACGGCACTTCATGCAGTCACGCCAGCCACATGACCTTGTAATGTAATGCAATATAATACTACTACTAATAATATGATATTATAATTATATATTTATATTACATGTAATTTTAATAATAATATTATGGTATAATTGATATAGTGCAATATAGCAATATTTAAAACTGATATTGTACTATGTTAATAATATATTGTATGTATATATACCTTGTAAGCCGCTCTGAGTCCCCTTCAGGGTGAGAAGGGCGGCATATAAATGTCGTAAATAAATAAATAAAATAAATAAATATGGACAAAGTTGGCTTTTCGGCTTTGAAATGGAGATGGGCACCACCCCTCAGAGTTAGACTCGACTAGACTTAATGTCAAAAGGAAATCTTTACCTTTACTTATAGAGTCTCAGCTAATACAATATAGTTTCTGGAGTACAACAACGATTTTCAAGGTAAATACTGCATAATTAAACAGGAAATAATACTTTCAAACCAGGAAAAGAATTTTGTTTTTTGTTACATGGTGTAAACTTTCCTACTTTCTCCTGTTCACAACGCATCCACACCAGCGTTTCTCAACCTGGGGGTTGGGATCCGTGGGGGTTGGGATCCATTGGGATCCATCAGAAAACACATGGGAGTTCTGTGTAGGACATTTGGCTCAATTCTATCGTTGGTGGGGTTCAGAATGCTCTTTGATTGTAGGTGAACTATAAATCCCAGCAACTACAACTCTCAAATGTCAAGGTCTATTTCCCCCAGACTCCACCAGAGTTCACATTTGGGCATGTTGAGAATTAATGCCAAGTTTGGTCCAGATCCGTCATTGTTTGACTCCACAGTGCTCTCTGGATGTCTGTGAACTACAACTCCAAAATTCAAGATCAATGACCACCAAACCCTTCCAGTATTTTCTGTTGGTCATGGGAGTTCTCTGTGCCAGGTTTGATTCAGTTCCATCGTTGGTGGAATTAAATATGCTCTTTGATTGTAGGTGAACTATAAATCGCAGCAACCACAACTCCCAAATGTTAAAACGAGTCAGGGGTGTATATGTCTGTGGAATAATGTCCAGGGTGGGAGAAAGAACTCTTGCCTGTTTGAGGTAGGTATGAATGTTGTCATTGATCACCTTGATTAGTATTTAACAGTTCTTTCTCCCTCCCTGGACATCATTCCACAGATATATAAACCTCACTTACTTAGTTTCCAACAGACCTCACAACCTCTGAGGAAGCCTGCCATAGATGAGGGCAAAATGTCAGGAGAGAATGCTTCCGGAACATGGCCAGACAGCCTGGAAAACTCACAGCAACCTAGAAAATGGGGTTTATATATCTGTGGAACGTCCCAGGTGGGGAATTCCAGACAATAAACAATCCCAATCGATTCCCCCAGGCAGTAGGAAGCTAGACCTTGAAACTGCAAGGCAATTAAATGCCGATCAAGGTGGCCAATTGCAAAATTCTCATCTACCTTAAACAGGCAAACGTCAGGAGAGAATCTGCTTCTGGAATATGGTCAGACAGCTCAGAAAACTCACAGCTTCTGTCAAGTTGCACCTTAGCTTGACATATGTATCTGTGGAATGTCCAGACAAGAAACAATCAGGGTCAGCTAATCACCTTCCAATGAGGGATTCCCCCAGGCAGTAAGAAACCAGACCTTGAAACTGCAAGGCCATCAAATGCTTATCAAGGCAGCCAATTCCAATATTCACACCTACCACAAACAGACAAATGTCAACAGATTCTCCCAGGTAGTAAGAAGACAGACCTTGATGTTGCAAGGCCATCAAATGCTTACCAAGGTGGCCGATTGCAACATTCATACCTACCTCAAACAGACAAATGTCAACAGGGTGGGGAATTCCAGACAATAAACAATCAGGGCCAGCTAATCACCTCCCAACGAAGGATTCCCCCAGGCAGTAAGAAGCCAGACCTTGAAGCTGCAAAGCTATCAAATGCTAATCAAGCTGAGCAATTCAAACATTTGCACCTACCTCAAACAGACAAATGTCAACAGCTTCCCCAAGGCAGTAAGAAGCCAGACTTTGAAGCTGCAAAGCTATCAAATGCTTATCAAGGTGAGCAATTCAAACATTCACACCTACCTCAAACAGACAAACATCAACAGCTCCCTCTAAGAAGTAAGAAGCCAGACCTTGAAGCTGCAAAGCCAACAAATGCTTATCAAGGTGAGCAATTCAAACATTCACACCTATCTCAAACAGACAAACGTCAACAGTTCCCTCTAAGAAGTGAGAAGCCAGACTTTGAAGCTGCAAAGCTATCAAATGCTTATCAAGGTGAGCAATTCAAACATTCACATCTACCTCAAACAGACAAACGTCAGCATCTTCCCCCAAGCAGTAAGAAGCCAGACTTTGAAGCTGCAAAGCCATCAAATGCTTATCAAGGTGAGCAATTCAAACATTCACACCTACCTCAAACAGACAAACATAAACAGCTTCCCCCAAGCAGTAAGAAGCCAGACCTTGAAGCTGCAAGGCCATCAAATGCTTGTCAAGGTGGCTGATTGCAACATTCATACCTACCTCAAACAGACAAGTGTCAACAGGGTGGGGAATTCCAGACAAGAAACAATCAGAGCCAGCTAATCACCTCCCAACGAAGGATTCCCCCAGGCAGTAAGAAGCCAGACTTTGAAGCTGCAAGGCCATCAAATGCTTATCAAGGTGGCCAATTGCAACATTCACACTTATCTTAGACAAAGGTCAACAGATTCCCCCAGGCAGTAAGAAGCCAGACCTTGAAGCTGCAAGGCCATCAAATGCTTATCAAGCTGAGCAATTCAAACATTCACGCTTACCTCAAACAGACAAACGTCAACATCTTCCTCCAAGCAGTAATAAGCCAGACCTTGAAGCTGCATTGCTATCAAATGCTTATCAAGGTGAGCAATTCAAACATTCACACCTACCTCAAACAAACAAAGGTGGAACATCCAGGGAGCGGAATTCCAGACAAGAAACCATCTGGGCCAGCTAATCACCTCCCAACGAAGGATTCCCCCTGGCAGTAAGAAGGTAGACAAACGTCAGGAGAGAATGCTTCTGGAACATGGCCAAACAGCCCAGAAAAATCACAACATCCTAGGAAAGTGGGGTTTATGTATCTGTGGAACATCCAGGGAGGGGAATTCCAGACAAGAAACCATCAGGGCCAGCTAATCACCTCCCAACGAAGGATTCCCCCAGGCAGTAAGAAGGTGGTCAAACGTCAGGAGAGAATGCTTCTGGAACATGGCAAAGCAGCCTGGAAAACTCACAACATCCTAGGAAAGTGGGGTTTATATATCTGTGGAATGTCCAGGGAGGGGAATTCCAGACAAGAAACCATCAGGGCCAGTTAATCACCTCCCAACGAAGGATTCCCCCAGGCAGTAAGAAGGTAGACAAACGTCAGGATGGAATGCTTGTGGAACATGGCCAAACAGCCCGGAAAACTCACAACAACCTAGGAAAGTGGCCTTTATGTATCTGTGGAACATCTAGGGAGGGGAATTACATACAAGAAACAATCAGGGCCAGCTAATCACCTCCCAACGAATGATTCCCCCAGGCAGTAAGAAGACAGACTCTGAAGCTGCAAAGCCATCAAATACTTATCAAGGCGGCCAATTGTAACATTCACACCTACCTCAAAAAGACAAACATCAGAATGATTCTGGAATATGGCCAGACAACCCGGAAAATTCACAACATCCTAGGAAAGTAGGGTTTACATAACTATGGAATGTCCAGGGTGGGGAATTCCAGACAAGAAACAACCAGGGCCAGCTAATCAACTTCCCAACAGATTCCCCCAGGCAGTAAGAAGCCAGACCTTGAAGCTGCAAAGCCATCAAATGCTTATCAAGGTGAGCAATTGCAACATTCACACCTACCTCAAACAGACAAACGTCAGGAGAGAATTTGCTTCTGGAACATGGCCAGACAGCCCGGAAAACTCACAGCAAGCCAGTGTATTCTGTCGACTGTATATGTGGCTGTGCCAAGCTCCAGGTCCAGCCCTGCAAGGGAAGGGCCAGCCAAGAGTTAAAACCATAGAGCGAGGCTGAGAGGCTGCACCTCCTCCAGGAGAGGAAGGTTGTAAATAGTCCAGGCCTCTTCCTGTTCGCCTCTGCTTTACAAGCCTTTGCAAACCGGAGGCGTTGATACAAATATATGCTGAAAATTGCAACTCTCTATCTATTGCAACTCTCTATCTGTTTGCAGGCAGTCCTCAGGTGGCTCCAAAAGGGTGAGTAGTAGCAATGGGGTTTCTTCCTCCTGCCCCCAAAGGGAGTGCTTGTGCCTTGCTTTGGAGTTTGCCGGCAAATTCCCTCCGGGAAGGGAGTGTCCAAATCCTGGGGAAGCTTGGCAGCCAAGCCTCTCTCCACTCTGACCTCCCCCCTTTCCCCCAAATGGTTCAGCCCTTCCCGCTTAAGCCTCTTCAGAATGGGAGAAACCAAGTGAGGAAGGCGGGGGAGGAGAGTGTCTCCATTGTTTTCCCCCCATACAAAAACTCCTTGCTAATTATTATTTATGACTGAGATCGAAGGAAACATAAAAACATAGGTTTGTGCCTTTCTAAAAAAAATAGGGATAAAATAGAAGGAGAAAACAACAAAGGTGGAAGAGCAGGAAGGGATAAATGATTCCTTCTTTCACCTATGGCAAGACCTCACAAACTCTGAGGATGCCTGCCATAGATGCAGGTGAAACGTCAGGAGAGAATGCTTCTGGAACATGGCCAGACAGCTAGAAGGGGAAAACAACAAAGGTGGAAGAGCAGGAAGGGACAAATGATTCCTCCTTTCACCTATGGCAGGTTATGGCAAGACCTTTCAAACTCTGAGGATGCCTGCCTTAGATGCAGGCAAAACGTCAGGAGAGAATGCTTCTGGAACATGGCCAGACAGCTAGAAGGGGAAAACAACAAAGGTGGAAGAGCAGGAAGGGATAAATGATTCCTCCTTTCACCTATGGCAGGTTATGGCAAGACCTCACAAACTCTGAGGATGCCTGCCATAGATGCAGGCGAAACGTCAGGAGAGAATGCTTCTGGAACATGGCCAGACAGCTAGAAGGGGAAAACAACAAAGGTGGAAGAGCAGGAAGGGACAAATGATTCCTCCTTTCACCTATGGCAGGTTATGGCAAGACCTTTCAAACTCTGAGGATGCCTGCCTTAGATGCAGGCAAAACGTCAGGAGAGAATGCTTCTGGAACATGGCCAGACAGCTAGAAGGGGAAAACAACAAAGGTGGAAGAGCAGGAAGGGATAAATGATTCCTCCTTTCACCTATGGCAGGTTATGGCAAGACCTCACAAACTCTGAGGATGCCTGCCATAGATGCAGGCGAAACGTCAGGAGAGAATGCTTCTGGAACATGGCCAGACAGCTAGAAGGGGAAAACAACAAAGGTGGAAGAGCAGGAAGGGACAAATGATTCCTCCTTTCACCTATGGCAGGTTATGGCAAGACCTTTCAAACTCTGAGGATGCCTGCCTTAGATGCAGGCAAAACGTCAGGAGAGAATGCTTCTGGAACATGGCCAGACAGCCCAGAAAACTCACAGCAACCCTATGGAAAGATTCCCAAAGAAGGGAAGGTATAGGTCATTGCATCCTCCCAAGGAATGGGGTGGCATGAAAACCCCAAAAGAGGCCACTGCATCCTTTTCCAAAGAAGTGTGATTTAATGTATTCCCAAATTTATATATTCCCAAATTTATATACGGCTTTCATGGCCATAATCACTGGGTTGCTTTGAGTTTTCCGGGCTGTATGGCCAGGAAATATTATTATTATTATTATTATTATTGTATTACGAATTGTATGTATTACGAATTATTCCCAAATATTATTATTTTAGTGTTGTCGAAGGGTTTCGTGGCCAGAATCTCTGGATTGCTTTGAGTTTTCCGGGCTATATGGCCATGTTCCAGAAGCATTCTCTCCTGACCTTTCGCCCACATCTGTGACAGGTATCCTCAGAGGTTGTGGGGTCTCTTGGAAACTAGGCAAGTCAGGTTTATATATATCTGTGGAATGATGTCCAGGGAGGGAGAAAGAACTGTTTGAGGCAAGTGTGAATGTTGCACTTGGACACCTTGATTAGCATTGAATGGCCTTGCAGCTTCAAATCTTGGCTGGTTGCTGCCAAAGAACAAGAGGGATGTTCTCACCTCTGCTGGAGTCTAGTGTATACCAAGCAGGTGATGACAAGTCTACAAAGGGACCACCAAATGCAGGATAATAATAATAATAATAATAATAATAATAATAATAATAATAATAATAATGTATTACGAATGATTCCCAAATATTATTATTATTGTGTTGTTGAAGGCTTTCATGGCCATAATCACTGGGTTGCTGTGAGTTTTCCGGGCTGTATGGCCATGTTCCAGAAGCATTCTCTCCTGACATTTCACCCACATCTATGGCAGGCATCCTCAGAGGTTGTGAGGTCTGTTGGAAACTAGGCAAGTGATTATGTATTGTTTGGAATAATATCCAGGGTGGGGGAAAGAACTCTTGTCTGTTTGAGGCAAGTGGGAATGTTGCCATTGGCCACTTTGATTAGCATTGAATGGCCTTGCAGCTTCAAAGCCTGGCTGGTTGCTGCCAAAGAACAAGAGGTTTGTTCTCACCTCTGCTGGAGTCTACTGTATACCAAGCAGGTGATGAGAAGTCTACAAAGGGACCACCAAATCCAGGATTATAATAATAATAATAATAGTAATAATAATAATAATAATAATAATAATAATAATAATAATGTATTACGAATGATCCCCAAATATTATTATTTTTGTGTTGTCGAAGGCTTTCATGGCTGGAATCACTGGGTTGTTGTGAGCTTTCCAGGCTGTCTGGCCATGTTCCAGAAGCATTCTCTCCTGACATTTCACCCACATCTATGGCAGGCATCCTCAGAGGTTGTGAGGTCTGTTGGGAACTAGGCAAGTAGGTTGATATATCTGTACAATAATATCCAGGATAGGAGAAAGAACTCTTGTCTATTTGAGTCAAGTGGGAATGTTGCCATTGGCCACCTTGATCAGCATTGAATGGCCTTGCAGCTTCAAAGCCTGGCTGGTTGCTGCCAAAGAACAAGAAGGATCCTCTCACCTCTGCAGGAGTCTACAGTATACCAAGCTGTTGTGGAAAGTCTATAAAGGGACCACCAAATACAGGATGATAATAATAATAATAAGTATTCGACCTGTGATTTTGAGATGCAAAATCCAGCATATATATCTCGTTTGCTGTGACATACTATGTTTTTGTGTCAATAGAATAATAATAATGATAATAATAATAATAATAATAATATAATAATAATATCTGCACATTGCACCTACCTCCAAATACCTCTACATATTACCTGTCAAGTTCAGCACTTTTTAAATTTTGTCCATTACATTTGGCCCGGCCTTTGGTTTTAATTGCGTCACGGTGTCATTGTTTTACTGTTTTATTGTTTTGCTTGATGTTTTATTATTTGCTTATGAGTTTATTGTGTATTGTATGTTGTTGTTGGCGGCCTTGGCCTTTGTAAGCCGCATTGAGTCCTTCGGGAGATTTTGGGGGTATAAATAAAGATAATAATAATAATAATAATAATAATAATAATGTATTATGAATGATCCCCAGATATTATTATTTTTGTGTTGTCGAAGGCTTTCATGGCTGGAATCTCAGGGTTTTTGTGAGTTGTTCGGGCTGTATGGCCATGTTCCAGAAGCATTATCTCCTGACATTTCACCCAGATTTATGGCAGGCATCCTCAGAGGTTGTGAGGTCTGTTGGAAACTAGGCAAGTGAGGTTTATAAATCTGTGGAATGTCCAGGGTGGGAGAAAGCTGTTGGAGGCAAGTGTGAATGTTGCCATTGGCCACCTTGATTAGCATTGAATGGCCTTGCAGCTTCAAAGCCTGGCTGCTTCCTGCCTGGGGGAATATCATAATACAAGTTTATTTGTATTCCATTCTATCTCCCCAAGGGGAATCAGGGCAGATTCCAACATCACAATGGCAAACATTCAATACCTTCGTAAATCAAACCAATACAGGTATAAAGTCCCTGCATAGAAACTCCACATATGAAAATGACATTCAAACCTAACTTGAAATTAAAGCTAACATCAGTAAATCAAACCTAACATCATTAAATTAAACTACACGTAGTCAAATAAAATTATATCATAACATCAAATCTAAACAAACATCCGCATTAATTTATGACAGCCAGCTAGACTTCACAAAACAGAGTGGGTTGGTTTTGTAGTCAAACAATGGGAGAATCCCTTGTTAGCTGGCCCTGGTTCTTTCATGTCTGGAATTCCGCTGTTGTTTGAGTGTTGCTCTTTATTTACTTTCCTGATTTTGGAGGTTTTTATAGTATACTGTTAGCCAGATTTTATTCATTTTCGTGGTTTCCTCCTTTCTATTGAAATGGTCCCCATGCTTGTGGATTTCAGTGGTTTCTCTGTGTAGTTTGACATAGTAGTTGTGAGAGTGGTCCGGCATTTCTGTGTCCCCAAATAATACGCTGTGTCCAGGTTGCTTCATCAAGTGTTTTGGCTACCAGTATAAAAAAAAATCAGGACAGTAAATAATAAGGGAATTCCTGACATGAAACAAACAGGGCCAGCTAACACCTCCCAACAAAGGATTCTCCCAGGCAGGAAGCAACCAGACTTTGAAGCTGCAAGGCCATTCAGTGCTAATCAAGGTGGCTAATTGCAACATTCACACTTGCCTCAACAGACAAGAGTTCTTTCTCCCACCCTGGACATTCCACAGATATATAAACCCCATTTTCCTAGTTTCACAGACCTCACAACCTCTGAGGATGCCTGCCATAGATGCAGGCGAAATGTCAGGAGAGAATGCTTCTGGAACATGGCCATACAGCCTGGAAAACTCACAGCAACCTTATATATTTTTATTTATTTATTTGGGCATTTCTGTATTGGGTTGTTGTGAGTATTCTGGGCTGTAAGGCCATGATCCAGAAGCATTCTCTCCTGGCATTTCACCTGCATTTATGGCAGGCCTCACAACCAACAGACCTCACGACCTCTGAGAATGTCTGCCATAGATGTGGGTGAAATGTCAGGAGAGAATGCTTCTAGAATATGGCCATACAGCCCAGAAAACTCACAATAACCTAGTGATTCAGGCAATGAAATCCTCCGACAACACAAAAATAGTAATATTAGGGGATCATTCATAATACATTATTATTATTATTATTATTATTATTATTATTATTATTATTATAAACACAACAAGATGAGTCCACAGCAGACAAGATCACTCTGCTGGCTGTTGTATTGGATCACACATCGGACACTTCCCAAGTGTCTAGGACTGTGTGATGTATCGGCGAATAATGCGTGCAGATCCCAGTAAGGTGGCCTTCTGCAGCTGGCAGATGGTAATTTTGTCAGCGCCGATTGTGTTTAAGTGCAGGCCAAGGTCTTTAGGCACTGCACCCAGTGTGCCGATCACCACTGGGACCACCTTTACTGGCTTGTGCCAGAGTCTTTGCAGTTCGATCTTTAAATCCTCACATTGTGTCAGCTTTTCCAGTTGTTTCTCTTCAATCCTGCTGTCACCTGGGATTGCAACATCGACAATCCATACTTTGTTTTTTTTTTTAAATGAGGTCAGAAGCATTTTCTCCTGGCATTTCAACTGCATCTATGACAGGCATCTGAAGACCTCACAACCTCTGAGGATGCCTGCCATAGATGCAGGCAAAATGTCAGGAGAGAATGCTTCTGGAACATGGACATACAGCCCGGAAAACACACAACAATCCAGTGATTCCAGCCATGAAAGCCTTCGACAATTATCATCCATACTTTGTTTTTTAACACGATTGTGAGACCAGGAGTTGTTGTTGTTGTTATTATTATCCTGCATTTGGTGATCCCTATGTAGACTTGTCCACAACTACATGGTATACATTAGACTCCTGCAGAGGTGAGAGGACCCCTCTTGTCCTTTGCCAGGAAGTAGCCAGGCTTTGAAGCTTCAAGGCCATTCAATGCTAATCAAGGTGACCAACTGCAACAACCCAGTGATTCTGGCCATGAAAGCCTTCTACAATACATTTCTGTATTGCCTTTCTCCAAGGACTCATGGCAGTTTACAACAATAGATGTCACAAAACAGTATAAATAACCCATTAAAATAATCCTTGTTGGACATAAAAATTATCAAAAATGATTAAAAGCACTCCGAAATGCCCAGGAAGATAAAATATAATTCTAAAGTTCAGGTCCTAGGCTTCTGTGACCTTGGTTAAAAGCTCTTCGCATCGGAAAGTTTTCAAGTTTTGCCTAAAGTTTTGCTAGGCGTTGAATGTTTGCCTTGTGTTTGTGTATGCGGAACCCGCCCAGAGTCCCCTGGGGAGAGAGGGTGGAATACAAACAAAGTATTATTATTATTATTATTATTATTATTATTATTATTATTATTATTAAAGGCCAAGAGGGGGTGGGGCTGCTCTTGTTGCATCTGGCAAAGCGTCCCACAGCTTTGGTGCCGCGCCCGAGAATGTGCCGTCTCTAGCCTATTTTAAATGAGGGCCATTCCTAAGCTGAGTCGATAATAATATACCTGGCTTATAGGGTAGGACATGATGTCTCATGTATCCTGGACTGAGGCAGTGGTTTTTGAGTTATGTTAATCCCACAAATGAACATTACACTTCGTAATGGATGTAAATATCTGAGACGCAGGATGTATTTTCATTTACTGGACCAAATTTGGCACAAATATCCGATACATCCAAATTTGAATACTGGTGAGGTTAAGAGGATTGATTTTGTCATTTAGGAATTGTTGTTGCTGGGATTTATAGTTCACCTCCAATCAAAGAGCATTCCAAAGTCCACCAATGATAGAATTGGGTCAAACTTGGTACACAGGGCTCCCATGACCAACAGAAAATACTGGAAGGGTTTGGTGGGCATTGACCTTGAGTTTTGGAGTTGTAGTTCACCTACATCCAGAGAGCACTGTGGACTCAAACAATGATGGAGCTGGACCAAACTTGGCACAGATACTCAATATGCCCAAATGTGAACACTGGTGGAGTTTGGGGAAGATAGATCTTGACATTTGGGAGTTGTAGTTGCTGGGATTTATAGTTCACCTACAATCAAAGAGCATTCTGAGCTTCACCAATGATGGAATTGGGCCCAACTTCCCACACAGAACCCCCATGACCAACATTTCCAAATAAAGCTATATTGTTCTTTCCAAAAAGAGGATTTACCTGGCTCCAGATAGGAATAGATACAAGATTAGATTAGATCAGGTCATCATCGTAGCTTGAGTGCCAGAGTGTTATTCCCGGAATGGGTTTGAATCCCTTCTCAGCCATGGAAACCCACTTGGTGACCTTGGGCCCGCCATGCTGATCAATCGGGGATTTGAACCCCGGTCTCCTGAGTTGTAGCCCAATGTGTACTATATCCCACTGACTTCCATCTCCTTCTCTTATGTCTCTTTTTGTGCTCTTTCCTCAGGGAGAAAAAGCTGTGCCTGTACAAACAAGTAGAGCCATCCATTTGTTTACAATCTGAATTTCGCCAGGAATTAAAAGCAACCGTTGAGGCGCCTTCCTCTCCCCATCTTGTGGAATGTTTCATTTAGTCGTGATGTAAATACAAGACCCCACACCCAGTTTGTTGGGCGTACTTTCTCCAAGTGCTGCCAAGGGTTGGAACAGAGCTGAGGAATCATTGTTGTTATTTGTTGTCAAGTTGACTTTGACTTACGGCGACTCTGTGAATGAGAGACTGCTCCGAGCCATCAAGTCTTGCAAACTCAGGGTTGTGTATTCCTTGTTTGAATCCATCCATCTGTAATGCGGTATTCCGCTTCTCCTGTTGCCTTCCACCTTGCCCAGCGTTATCGCCTTTTACAACAAATCGTGTTGTCTCGTGATACATCCAAAGTGTGACAGCCTCAGATTAGTAGTCTCAGCTTCTAGGGAGCTCTCAGACCTCTTTTGTTTTGCCCATTGCGTGCCACATAATGTCCACGGAGCAGAATGATGGGTTGGCTCTGGACCTCCAGTTGCGCAGAGGGCTCAATCGAGGCAATCCAGCAATTAAAATGGAAGACGTGGAGCCAGCAATGGCGTTTGAGGGCCCGAAGGGCAGCCACGAAACTGTCCAAAGGGGGACTGACGGACCGGGTCTGGGGTGGAGTGGGATCCAGCACATAAAACAAGAACCGGAGGACGGGATGTCGCCGTCCCAGCACTGGGAAGCCCAATGGCAGCAGTTTTTGGGGGGCGTTCAGTCCCCTCTCTCATTGTGGGGGGGCAGACCACCCCCCGGGGTCCTATCATGGGGGGACACCAAGGTCCCCATGCCTCATTTTGAGGGTATGGCCACAACTAGTCAGCAGATGCGGGAAAGGCAGTTTCTCCAGCCACCACTGCCAACTTTTGACCGAGAGTCTCAGCCTGATCCGGAGCAGAGGAAGGTCAAGGAGGAGATGGACCACGAGGAGGCGGTGGGCACGGAGCCGCCCTGTCGACGCTTCCGGCAATTCCTCTACCAGGAGGCCGAGGGGCCCCGGGCGGCTTGCGGGCACCTCTGGGACCTTTGCCACCGGTGGCTGAAGCCAGAGAGGCACTCGAAGGAAGAGATCCTGGAGCTGGTGATCTTGGAGCAGTTCCTCGCCATCCTGCCCCAAGGCATGGAGAGCTGGGTGCGGGAGTGCCATCCCCACACCTGCGCCCAAGCGGTGGCTCTGGCAGAGGATTTCCTACTAAGGCACCCGGAGGATGGCAGGCAGGATCAGAAGGTGAGAGGGATCCTTCTTGCTAAGCTCAGTGGCCAAGAGCCAGTTTTTTGAACTTCACGTTCCACAATTCCTAACAGTAGGCTGTTAGGAATTGTGGGAGTTGAAGTCCAAAACACCTGGAGGGCTGAAGTTTGCCCAGGCCTACACCAGTCAATGCTGTAAATGCACTGTCATGGGTCCAGGACCACCTCATCACATGTAATGTTGTTATTGTTATTGTTGTTGTTATTTACCTGCCTCTCCTGACTGCTTGAGGTGGGGTACAATGCAGTATAAACAGGTAAATAACCCAAAAGACCATAAAGATATATACTGTATACACTTGAGTGTAAACTGAGTTTTTCAGCCCTTTCTTAGGGCTGAAAAAGCCCCCCTTGGCTTATACTCAAGTCAAAGTTATTTATTATTTTACTCTGTTATTATTACTATTATTTTTATTATTTTACTCTATTTTTATTATTACATTTCTATTATTTTACTCTATTATTATTACATTTATTATTTTACTTTATTTATTATTATTACATGGATTATTTGTCTCTAGTATTATTTGTTTAGGAGCCCCAGTGGCGCAGTGGGTTAAACCCCTGTGCCGGCAGGACTGAAGACCGACAGGTCGCAGGTTCGAATCTGGGGAGAGGCGGATGAGCTCACCTCTATCAGCTCCAGCTCCAGCTCCTCATGCGGGGACATGAGAGAAGCCTCCCACAAGGATTTATATATATATATATATATATATATATATATATATATATATATATATACACACATACACATACACATACACATACACATACATACATACACACACACACACACACACACACATACATACACACACACACAGACACACACACATCCAGGCGTCCCCTGGGCAACGTCCTTGCAGACGGCCAATTCTCTCACACCAGAAGCGACTTGCAGTTTCTCAAGTCACTCCTGACACGACCAAAAAAAAAACTACCAAGCTTGCAAACTTTGTGTTTTGTTTGATTGTTTGTTTGTTAAAAAATGCAATACAACTGTTGGGCTTGCTCCTCACAAGATAAATATATGTGTGTTTTTGCGTATATATATGTGGTTTTGCACATGCGTTGTAATGTATTTTTTATTTTTTGACCTTTTAAGTATTTTCTGCTGTGTTTTTCAGTGTTTTGATTAGTGATGGCCACTCGTTGGCCTGATAGGTGTGTTGTGTCCAAATTTGGTGTCAATTCGTCCAGTAGATTTTGAGTTACGTTAATCCCACAAACGAACATTACATTTTTATTTATATAGATTACATTTATTCTTTTACTCTACTTTTATTATTATTACATTTATTCTTTTATTCTATTTTACTATCCTATTTTTTCACTCTATTTATTGCTGTTATTATTACATTTAGTATTTTATGCCTTTATTTATTTATTTCAAACATTTGTACCCCGTTCCTCTCAACCCCCGGGGGGCGGGGTCAGGGAGGCTTATAACCGGCAACAATTTGATGCCGACACATACAAGCAAAACAATATAACACACAAGACAAAACAGTACAACCCCCATATCATAGAATCCTGGAGTTGGAAGAGACCTCGTGGGCCATCCAGTCCAACCCCATTCTGCGAAGAAGCAGGAAAATTGCATTCAAAGTACCCTTGACAGATGGCCATCCAGCCTCTGCTAAAAAGCCTCCAAAGAAGGCTTTTTAGCAAAGAAAAGCCTCCACCACACTACGGGGCAGAGAGTTCCACTGCTGAACAGCTCTCTCTCACAGTCAGCAAGTTCTTCCTCATGTTCAGGTGGAATCTCCTTTCCTGTAGTTTGAAGCCATTGTTCCGCGTCCTAGTGTCCAGGTCCCATGTCTGAGAAATGATATCCTCTCTTGACATTTTTAGGCCCTATGAGAATCTGTGGTATTCTTGGGCTTGAAGTCTTTCATTTCGATAGAGCTTGCTACTACACTGTGTAACAAAATTTGAAAATGTTTCTGTTCTTGGTTTGAAAGTGTTATTTCCTGTTTAATTATATGGTATTTAGGTTGAAAGTAGTTGTTATACTCCAGAAACTTGGTTGTAAGGGGTGCTACAAACTATGTTGAATTGGTTGAGACTCTCTGAGATATTCATTGAATAACTATAGCAAAATGTACTGCAGGATGTCCTGCAAAAAAACGTATTTTTTTTTTGCAGTTTAATAAACTCCAACTTATTGGAGTTTAATTTTATATGCAAGGAAAAAAATCAATAATAAAAAAGGACTGCAAAACATGAACACATTCCTTGAGAGGCATTGACCTTGAGAGGCCTGCTTCTGCCTCTATCACAGATTCTTTCTGATTTACTGTACCTGAATCTCTGCCCCTTCAGAAGCATCCTGGTATCTCTCTCTAAGCCAATGGTTCTCAACCTTCCTATTGCCACGACCCCTTAATAGAGTTCCTCATGTTATGGTGACCCCCAACCATAAAATCATTTTCATTGCTACTTCATAACTGTCATTTTGCTACTGATATCAATTGTAATGTAGCTACATCTTGCTCTAAAACCCCTTCCGTTTGCTCACCTAAGGAACCATCAGACCCTGAACCCCCAAACCCCTCATCTTCATCTGGCTGAACCACAACAGGTAACACATCCAGGCATCCCCTGGACAACATCTCTGCAGACAGCCAATTATCTCACACCAGAAGTGACTTGCAGTTTCTCAAGTCCCGTTTGACATGATAAAAAAAAAATCCAGATATGGTGGTTGTACTGTATCCCGTCACGTATATGTACGCAAATACAAGTGGAGCCAGCCTTCTACATTGAGGGTTTGACTAAATAGGAAAGAGTAAAACGCTTCCATTTTTTTCAGGATCCAGGGATGTTCCATGTGGTGACTGTGAATTTTCCTGACACTGAGCCCGTCTCTTCGAACAGTGCGCACAGGCAACTTGGCAGACCAGTCAAGGAAGAAGTCACGGAGGATGGCCACTCTGTGGGTACGTTCTCCTTCAACGTCTGTAAGTTGGTCTGTGGGTCCCCCTCTCACATGTTGAAGAGATTAGATGGGATCTGGATTGTTGTGAGTTTTCTGGGCTGTATGGCCATGCTCCAGAAGCATTCTCTCCTGACGTTTCGCCCCTGCATGTTATTGTTTATACGTGATTTATATTAATTGTATTGTTGTGTTTGCTTATTGCTTTTTGTTTTATTGATGTGTTGTTGGGCTTGGCCTCATGTAAGCCGCTCCAAGTCCCCTTGGGGAGATGGTGGCGGGGTATAAATAAAGTTTTATTATTATTATATTATTCTTATTATTATTATTACATCTATGGCAGGCATCGTCAGAGGTTGTGAGGTCTGCTGGAAACTAGAAAAATGAGGTTTATATATATGTGGAATGTCCAGGGTGGGAGAAAGAACTTTTGTCTGTTTGAGTAAGAGTGAATGTAGCAATTGGCCACCTTGATTAGCATTTGATGGCCTAGCAGTTTCAAGGTCTGGCTTCTTGCTGCCTGGGGGAAACCATGAAAATGAACAAAATCTGGCTACCAGTATTTTAAAAACTCTAAAATCATAACAGTAAATAAAGAACAACACTCAGAAAATGGGAATTCAGACAAGAAACAATCCAAGCTAGCTAACACCTCCCAACAAAGGATCCTCCCAGGCAGCAACCAGCCAGGCTTTGAAGCTACAAGGCCATTCAGTTCTAACCAAGGTGGCCAATTGCAACAATTACACTTGCCTCAAGCAGACAAGAGGTCTTTCTCCCACACTGGACATTCCTTAGATACATAAACCCCACTTGTCTAGTTTCCAATAGACCTCACAACCTCTGAGGATGCCTGCCATAGATGTGGGTGAAACATCAGGAAAGAATGCTTCTAGAACATATGGCCCAGAAAACTTATAGAAACCCAGTGTGACTGGGTTGCTGTAAGTTTTCCGGGCTGTTTGGCCATGTTCCAGAAGCATTCTTTTCTGACGTTTCACCCACATCTATGGCAGCTATCCTCAGAGGTTGTAAGCCTCCCAACCTCTGGTGATGCCTGCCATAGATGTGGGCAAAATGTCAGGAGAGAATGCTTATGGAACATGATCATACAGCCTGGAAAACTTATGGAAACCCAATGTGACTGGGTTGCTGTGAGCTTTCTGGGCTGCATGGCCATGTTCCGGAAGCATTCTCTCCTGACGTTTCACCCACTTCTATAGCAGGCATCCTCAGAGGTTGCAAACCTCACAATCTCTGAGGATGCCTGCCATAGATGTGGGCAAAATGTCAGGAGAGAATGCTTCTGGAACATAGTCATACAGCTGGAAAACTTATGGAAACCCAATGTGACTGGGTTGCTGTGAGTTTTCCGGGTTGTATGGCCATGTTCTGGAAGCACTATCTCCTGACGTTTCACCCACTTCTATAGCAGGCATCCTCAGAGGTTGCAAACCAGTGGTTTTCATGGCCAGTGATTCCGGCCATGAAAACCTTCGATAACACCTATTGAATTTGTGTTATCTTTTCTAATCTGCAGTCAATGGTCCAATGACTGGACATGAAGAGCTTAACAAATGGAAGAATTCCCCAGGAATGGAGCCCCACGAGTTGTCATCGGTGGAAAGAATGGATGCTGTTGGTGGGACGTTGAATAAGGGAGGTGCCCATGAAGGCCAGAAGACGCCAAGGGGTCTGCAAGAAAACAGCCCAGAAGGAAGCGAAGGAGCTGCAACGGCGGAGAAGCAGTCGCTGTGCTCCAATTGTGGGGGATCTGTCAACCAGGCTCCGCGTCGCCTCAGCCGAGAGGAGATGAACCCCTTCAAATGCTCCGTGTGCGACAAAAGCTTTGGGGAAGTGGCCAAGCTGATCGCCCACGAGCGGCTCCACACGGTCGACTGGCCCTACAAATGCTCCTTCTGCGGGAAGAGCTTCAACCGGAGCTCGGAAGTCTCCCGGCACGAGCGGATCCACACGGGGGAGAAGCCCTTCAAGTGCACCACCTGCGAGAAGTGCTTCAGCCAGCGGTCCAAGCTGGTCGTCCACGAGCGCTTCCACACGGGGGAGAAGCCCCACACCTGCTCCTACTGCGGGCGCTGCTTCCACCAGCGGTCGGACCTGGTTAAGCACGAGCGCATCCACACGGGGGAGAAGCCCTACAAGTGCTCTGACTGCGGGGGCAGCTTCCACCGGAGCTCGGACCTGGTCAAGCACAAGTGGATCCACACCGGGGAGCGGCCCTACAAGTGCTCCACCTGCGAGAAGAGCTTCCGCCAGCGCTCGGCCCTGCTCTACCACGAGCGGACCCACACGGGGGAGAAGCCCTACACCTGCACCACCTGCGGGAAGGGCTTCAGCTGCAAGGCCCACCTCGTGCTCCACAAGAGGACCCACACGGGGGAGAAGCCCTACAAGTGCAACTTCTGCGGGAAGAGCTTCACCACCAGCTCATATTTCGTGAAGCACCAGCGGATGCACCTGGGCCAGGAACCATTGCCAGTTCACTGAAAGGAAACGCACGAGCATCAGGACTGCATGAACAATGGCTGGGAAAATGAGCGGCACGTTCCTCCATGTTTGCAAGCCGCACTGAGTCCCCCTCTCGGGGTGAGAAGAGCGGGATAGAAATATAGTAAATAAATAGTAAATAAATACTTTATATGGGGAGGGAAATCTCTGCAACTAGAAGACTGATCAGTAGACATGTGCATTCATCCGTTTCGTGTCCTGGCTTTCGGTGCCCCCCTCCCCCCTTGATCCATTTCATCTGAGCCTCCCGAAATTTGTTTTTGTTTTCGAGGCCAAAAGATCCATTTTCTTTCAGTCCATTATTGGAGGAGGAAACTTCACCCGTAGGCCCAAAGCGGTGGGTCTACAGGTGCAGGCTTTGGGCCTATGCACCCAGGCCTGGCAGAGTTTGCAACTGAGTGCTGAGTAAGGCGCACTCCTTACTCGGCACTCGGCTGTAGTCTCTGCAAGGTCTGGGCGCATAGACCCAAAACCTGCACCTGTAGGCCCAGGCGCTTTGGGCCTATGAATGCAGGCTTTGGGCCTATGTGCTTGGGCCTCGCAGGGAGTGCTGAGTACGGAGCGCTCCTTATTTGGCGCATGGCTGCAGGCCCTGTGAAGCCTGGACGCATAGGCCCAAAGCCTGCACACATAGACCCAAAGCGCTGGAGTGCCTGCAGTCAAGTGCCAAGTAAGGAGCGCTCCTTATTTGGCGCATGGTTGCAGGCCCTGTGAAGCCCGGGTGCATAGGCCCAAAGCCTGCACACATAGGCCCAAAGCGCCAGAGTGCCTGCAGTAAAGTGCCAAGTAAGAAGCGCTCCTTACTCGGCACTTGACTGCAGGCCCTGTGAAGCCCAGGCACATAGGCCCAAAGCCCACACCTGTAGGCAGGGGTGCCTGCAGTCAAGTGCCAAGTAAGGAGCGCTCCTTACTTGGCACTTGATTGCAGGCCCTGCGAAGCCCAGGCACATAGGCCCAAAGCCTGCACCCATAGGCAGGGGTGCCTGCAGTCCAGTGCCAAAAAAGGAGCGTTCCTTACTCAGTGCTTGGCTGTAGGCCCTGTCAAGACCAGACGTATAGGCCCAAGGCCTGTCTCCGTAGGCCCAAAGCGCCAGGGTGCCTGCAGTCGAATGCCAAGTAAAGAGCGCTCCTTACTCGGCATTTGACTGCAGCCCCTGTGAAGCCCAGGCGCGTAGGCCCAAGCCCAGGCGCGTAGGCCAAGAGCCTGCACCCGTAGGCCCAGGCGCTTTGGGCCTAAGAGCCTGCACCCGTAGGCCCAAAGCGCTGGGGTACCTGCAGTCAAGTGCCAAGGAAGGGCGCTCCTTACTCGGTGTTTGACTGCAGGCCCTGTGCAGCCTGGGTGCATAGTCTCAAATCCTGTACCTGTAGGCCCAAAGTGCCGGAGTGCCTGCAGTCGAGTGCCAAGTAAGGAGCGCTCCTTACTTGGCTCTTGACTACAGGCCCTGTGAAGCCCAGATGTGTAGGCCCAAAGCCTGAACCCGTAAGCCCAAAGCATTGTGGTGACTGCAGTCGAGTTCCAAGTAAGGAGCGCTCCTTAATCGGTGCTTGGTTGCAGGCCCTATGAAGTCTAGGCGCATAGGCCCAAATAATGCATCCGTAGGCCCAAAGTGCTGGGATGCCTGCAGTTGAGCACCAAGTAAGGAGCATCCCTTACTCAGTTCTCAGCTGCAGGCCTTGTGCAACCCAGACGTGTAGGCCCAAAGCCTGTACCAGTAGGTCCAAAGCACCGGAATGCATGCAGCCGAGCGCCGACTAAGGAGCACTTCTTACTCTGCACTTGTCTGCAGGCCCTGGCACGTTGGGCCTACACTCACAGTAATCGAACCGAAAAGCAGGCTTGGAGTTGGTACCCGCTCCCGCCTGCCTTTCGTTTCGAGTCCATTTTCGTTCCAGGAGGAGCCTTCCCGTTTCGTTCCATCCGAAATGGACGGAACAAAACTGAAACACGAATCAAACGGATGGGACTAATTTCAGGCCCATGGCTACTAATCAGTCAGGGAGAAGCATCCCTGAGATGCTACTTTTCTGTGCGCATGGGGATTTTGATGGCAAAAGCAAAAATAAAGCTCTCAGTTTTCGACCGGTGCTTGGAAATAGTAGAGGCCAACTTCTGATGGTGAAGAAAGGATTTTTAAAAAATGGTTTTGTCAAAGAGAGGGCGAAGCTGGTGGGGCATATGGCTGTGCTGGGAAGGGATTATTATTATTATTATTATTATTATTATTATTATTATTATTATTATTATTATTATTATTAAGAGATGCCCTGTCAACTGCTTGCCTGATTGAAAGGTTAAAAGCACAGACTTCACTGGGTCACCCAGTTTTATAAAAATGGAACAAGGAGAGAAAGTGGATCCAGAGATTCCTTTCTCTGTCTCTTTTGATATGAGGACTCAGGGGGCTTCAGATCAGCGGCAGTGTGCCTCGTTTTCGGTTCGGAAGGTCCCAGGCATCTCCAGAAAAAAAAGGATCAGGTTGCAGGTGATGACGGAAAAATCAAGCTAAACTTTAGGGAAAATTCTGTCTCACAGTTAAATATGCTGCTTGGGAGTATTGTGGAGTCTCCTCTGAAGATTTCTAAGCAGAGGCTGGATCTCCATCTTTTGGGAGTGCTTTGATTGTGTATTCCTTTGTGGTAGAAGAGAGTTGCACTCGTTGGATCTTGGGGTCTCTTTCAACTCTATGTTTCTATGCTCTTTTCCTCTTGGCCCTAGAGAGTTGCTACCAAGCTGTAGAAATAATTGGCTCTCGTAGAAGGTGGCATCTAACATTGGGCACTCCTAGATTCGTCTAAAGAAGCACGAGTTTCCGCAACATATGATTTTAAGTTTTTCCAGCTCCATTCCAAGTCGCCCAGGGGGGAGTCTCTCATTCAGTATCAGCCATGGATTGAGGTTCTGGGTTTGAGCCTGCCCCTTTTGGACTCCTGCTTGCTGAGGTGTTCCAGCGAGTGTCTCTTTAGAGCTTAGAAAACTATTTCTTGATTTAAGTCGTTGACGTGCTGGCTGATACCCAAATATAGGATGGGCCGGAGATGTCACTGCCTTGGTCCTTTCACTATTGGTTGCTACTTCCATTAGGACGTGGAAGAATGGGTTCAAACTCCAGGAAAAGAGATTCTACCTAAACATAAGACAAAACTTACTGATGGTAAGAGCTGTCCAACAGAAAAATATACTGTCCAACAGTAGAACCTTTGCGGCTTCTTTCAAATCCAGTGATTCATGTAGTTAGAAGAGACCCCAAGGGAAATCCAGCACAAGCCCCTTCTGCCAAGCAGGAAAAGCACAATCAAAGCCCTCCTCAGAGATACCCATCCAGCCTCTGCTTAAAAACCTCCAGAAACGGAGACCCCACCACACTCCAAGGCAACAGAATCGACTGTCAAACTCCCAGCATTGTTGGAGTGACAGCAATTGGGTGGCACACTGGCTTGCCAATGGAAATTGTGGGTCTGTGGTTGCACCGGGGAGCCGGTTGGCATAAGGGTCTTTCAGGCCACCTGAACACTTGTGTGTGAAAGATACACAGAAGGTGCTGTGCTGTCTAAACAAGACAGTGGTTTATTGAGGGGCGGGGGAATATGCATGGGTCATTGGAATTGCTGTCTTTGTGGTTGGGATGCTTTGCTTTTACGCCTGTATATATTCTGCACATTTCCACTGATGGAATCGATGTAATGTTCTGTCGAGAATAACCTTCAGGTTGCTGCCTTTCGTAAGACGCAGCTATGCAACTCTGGAAACTTTGCCTCCTGCGACACACACCTCCGCCCCGTTGCGCCAAAGAACTCTCTTTGCCTTACTCCAGCCATTCCAATGGGCTCACAAAAGAAACTAGTCCTCAAAGAAGAGAAAAGTCGCTCGATCGGGGAGGATTGTGAACTCAAGTCATTTTCCAGCAACTTCCCTGCCAAATTGCCTCACAGAATTGTGAAAATGATTATCTCAAAACCTGCCTTACTTTGCAAGCTCCTGAACTTATGTAAACGTATATAAACGCTGGGAGCAGCATACGACTTCATGTGTCCCTATCACCTGAAAGACTTATATGAGCAAAAAAAAAAAAAGCATGGATACCTCCCTACGATCCTTGGTGTTCTTTTCCATTGTCTTTTATTTGTGTTCGTAATTTTTTGGACACCTTGTCGATATAACGTATGTACCTTGTTGCTCCTCTTTCATGAATATTCTTATACACTGTTATGGAGGAGAAAAACGCAACCGATGTTGTGTTGGTTGTGTTTTTTTCCAGGAGACAAAATTGTCAAGAAACTGGATTTTTATTAATGCTTGTATTCCGTTGCCTTCTTGACTGAATTGCATCCAATTTGTCGCTACAGTTGGCCCTCCACTTCTCTGTGGTTCACTTGTGCAGACTCGATTGTTTGTGAATTGGAGTAATTAATATATTCTCTACAGGTTGTTTTCCAGCATGACTCCGCCATAGGGCCGGCTTTAGCACAGCAGGTTAATCACCAGCTGCAGCTGCAGTAAATCTTTCCAACTGAAAAATTGACAATTCAAAGCCGGGTCAGGGTGAGCTCCTGACCTTCAACCCAGCTCCTCATCCACCTAGCGGATCAAAAACAGCAGTGTGAGTAGATGAATAGGAACTGCATTAAGTGGGCAGGTATTTTAGGCATGATGTTTCAGAGTTTACAAACAAAGAAAGCTCTTTGGCAAGGAGATGGAGCTACAGCACCCCCTTGTGGCTAGAATCAAGCACAGCCTCCAAAGATGCCAATTGATGAGAAAAAGCCTATACAGTAAAGCAGGGGTCCTCAAACTAAGGCCCGGGGGCCGGATATGGCCCTCCAAGGTCATTTACCCGGCCCTCGCTCAGGGTCAACCTAAGTCTGAAACAACTTGAAAGCACACAACAACAATCTTATCTCATCAGCCAAAAGCAGGCCCACACTTCCCATTGAAATATTAATAAGTTTATATTTGTTAAAATTGTTATTCACTTTAATTATTGTATTGTTTTTAAGTGTTTTTGCACTACAAATAAGATATGTGCAGTGTGCATAGGAATTCATTCATTTTTTTTTCCAAATTATAATCTGGCCCTCCATCTGTTTGAGGGACTGTGATCTGGCCCTCTGTTTAAAAAGTTTGACAACCCTTGCAGTAGAGTCTCAATTGTTTGTTTATTTATGTATTTATTTATGACATTTATATGCCGCCCTTCTCACCCTGAAGGGGACTCAGAG